TGAGCCATATCAAACATTTTATTGGGGTTAAACAAACTAGTAGTACAACGAGTACGTGAACACGATTTTCGACACTGTTGATTACTGACAAAGACATCAGTCATTTAAAAGGGGGGGAAAAAACGATGTATATCATGAATTCTTGTCAGGGACAAAGAGCAATATACTGAGCACACAACGCGGAAATCCGAATTAAATTAAAAACATTCAACTGACGGATGCCATACCTGTTTGGGATTTAACATACAGGTAACAATGTGTTAGTACCGTTAAAAAAGAAATAACACATTTGCATAACATTATAATATGTAGGTTAAATTGGAATGACACGGCAATGCAATGCCCTCTTCCAATTGTCACAACGCTTTAATATAATAATCAAACTCTATTTTCATTTCATGGTTTTTTGTAAGTGGCATTTTCGAAACGTCCATTTCTGTGGGCTTTCTTCGTAGCTTAATTTTTTTTCCTTCAGAATTTTAGGATGTCACATTTTAGAAACATAAATTTTTATTTCATGGTTTTTCAATGTTAGATTTTAGAAACATTAATGTCACCACGTTTTCTTCATAGCTCAATTTCCATTTCACAGTTTTTGAGCATAAAAATTTAATAACACCAATAATATTGCTTTTTCTTCATAATTCAATTTCCATTTCACCGTTTTTGAGCATCACATTCTAGTAACATCGATATCATTGTGATCATCGATATCTTCGTAGCTCAATTCCCATTTCGCAGTTTTTGAGCATCACATTCTAGTAACATCGATATCATTGTGATCATCGATATCTTCGTAGTTCAATTTCCATTTCGCAGTTTTTGAACATCACATTCTAGTAACATCAAAAACACTGCTTTTTCTTCATAATTCAATTTCCATATCACTATTTTTGAGCATCACATTCTAGTAACATCGATATCATTGTGATCATCGATATCTTCGTAGTTCAATTCCCTTTTCACGGATTTTGAACTTCACATTTTAGTAGCATCAATAACACTGCTTTTTCTTCATAATTCAATTTCTATTTCACTGTTTTTGAGCATCACATTCTAGTAACATCGATATCATTGTGATCATCGATATCTTCGTAGCTCAATTTCCATTTCACAGTTTTTGAGCATCCCATTTCAGTAACATCGATATCAGTGTACATATATATCACGTTATGTTAATTATTTCTATCAAAATCATCGAATTAAAATATTGCATTTAGAATTCGACCTTTCATTAATTATGAACTTCAAATTATAAAGTATAATATATTATTACCTTGCGCAAACCCAATTTTTGGGCCGATCCAAGGTAACTATCAAATCAAATGTGGTTCTCTATTCAGCATGACAGCGTTTTAAAAATATATCCCACAACCCTCTATTTGCGCGTTAATTTTGTAATTCGAAATCTGGCAATTTAGTTATTATTATACATATTTATTATATATATTTATAAATAATTATTAATATTTATAAATAATTGTCATTTTTGTATGATATTATTTAGGACATGACATCTGTTTTGTCTTCTCGCTTTATGTGTTCTTGTTTGTTCCTATTTGTGTTATGTTATGTATTTTTCTAGAATTTTATGATTTTTACTCGTTAAAACTTTATTTTTCGGTTTCTGATTTTTCTTTTCTACTTCCTTTGGCTCCTTACACTATTTTATAGATACATTTTCATTGACAGATACATTGACAAATTTCTTTGTTTGAACTTGTAGCTTTCAATTAATTTTTTTAACTAACTTAAACGTGATTTTTTCATCGATATTATTTCTGGGGCATTGAGTGAAATTTTTGAGATTCCCTACAAATTTCTTAGCTTGAATTTACATTTTCAATACTATATGACTCTGCAATCAAATTAGAAGGGGAAAAAAGTTCGGTCGTATACTTTGTCTATATTTATATAGTGTTAAAAAGCGCTATTTTTGCGGTTATAATCGTGTGAGTTGATGACAAGATTATATTATTTCGTTATTATTTTTTCCCAAGTTTGGTTGTTTTTTAAATATTTTTAAATATTTTTATTATTTTTATATTAGATATATATGCGGCACGTTTTTCCTCTTTTAATTTGATTGCAGAGACATAAATTATTAAAAATCTAAATTCAAACAAAGAAATATGTAGGGAAACGCAGAAATTTCACTCAATGCCCCAGAAATAATATCGTTGAAAAAATCACGTTTAGGGTACTTAAAAAAATTAATTGAAAGCTATTTCTCGTTAGAGTTGCTAATTCAGCTAATGAGTTGATAATATAGGAAGAGATTGCAAAATGCAGAGTAATCAAGTCTTGTAATTTAATTTTGAAAGTTTAGCCTTTTAAAACACAAATATGTCGTTCTTCAATTCATTAGTTCTCACTCTCATTATATATATTTATATATCTTGTTCAAGTTTTCAATCGTTAATAAAATACTTTTTATTCATTCACTCAAATTTAAATACATTTTTTTAAACTTGTAGCGGATGACAGTTGATGTTAAAACAATTTTTTTAAATATTAATTGATTAATTAAATTTAATTAATTAATTTTAGTTTTATATGGGAGAAAAAAAATCTTCTTATATAAGATATTTAGCAGGATATAAATTTAGGAATAAATACCGTTAGTGGCGAAGCTTGTAGATCTCTGGAAAAACTAACTAATTAAATTAATTAATTTAAAAAGTAACTAAAATAAAATTTTTTATTGTTGACCTAAGTTGGAATTAACTTCAAAATTTTTTTCTTCATATTACTTGTTTTTTAAAGTGGAATAAACCCATTTTTCTTTCTTTCTTTTCTTCTTTTTCTCTCTTTTTCTGTTTTTTTCTTTTTCATTGAAAAATAATTAGTATTTGAAACTTCTTAATTTACTCTTGGTTTATCTGAGCTTATTTTTTCTATACTTTAAATTTAAATAACTAAAGTAGTTGGAAGAGAATTTATCATGAAAGGATTTTCCCGCAGTATAGCTTCCATTCAAAAAAAAACTTATAAAGATTACATATGTTTGTCATAAAGGTAAGCTGTATTGAAGTGAGTCATGTTCTGAAATGTAATTGCATATTATGTTCTCAAATTCTTTTGTTGTCATAAAGGTAACACATTCTTTATTGTACATTTCTTTCCCGGTATGCAACGACAATCAGATCTATTTTATTGTTTCTAATTTAGCGCTGACGTTAGTTTAGAAAAAAATGCTCTGTTCAACAGACCAAATGGAATTTGACAGTTATTTTTTTGATTCGCATAAGGTCCTTTGTTCAAACATAGCAACGCTAAATGAATGGGGATTTTAACACATTAGAATATTGTTTATAAGCGCGTGTACAGATCTTGTTTACTTTATATCCTAAAACAAAGAACTAAAAGGAAAAATTTGTTTCGCATTTTTCTGGCAACTAAAAATTCCTGCTTTTTTTTACGTATTAATTAATACTAGAAATAACCCCCAAAACAGTAAACTTAACTAACATATTTGTACATGTATCTAATAAAGTAATTATGATACCTGATAAATAATATTTTACCTGATTATATTGTACCTGATAAAAATATTTTGGTTACAAAACTATGCACTACTAGCTTGCTCCCTTTCAATTTATGAAGCAAACATTACTACATGATTAAATTGTACAGCGTGTCAACTATCTGTATAAATATGCCTGTCGTTGTCTTGTGCAGTGGATCTTCTGTATGCATCGAGTTATGGTAAAAAGTGCCATCAGGGTGCCGGTACTTTCTACCGTAAAGTTCACTTTTACCGAATAAAAATTACTGAATAAAATTATTTCATGTTACGGAACAAAAAATCTGATATACCATATTTTTTACTCTAATTATCGTAAAATCACTCCAATTAAATAATTGTTACTGTGAAAATTTCGGCATAATATTTAACGGGAAAATAGATTTCACAGTAAAGTGAATTTTAAGGATGATGCACCCAAAGCCCCTATACTTTATACCGTTATTTGATCCTAAAATTTTTTTAAAACGTGGCATAAGAACATATATAACGCGAAATTGTGTTGCGCATTATTTTTTCGTACTTGCGTACTGTGCTCCAAAAAAAGTGGACCACTCAGAATAACTTTTGATCTAATGATCGTACTTCACGGATACTTCACGTTCTAGAACTCAGTCTTAATTGTGACTTCAAATATACTAATTAACTAGTACAGACGATATTTTAAGTAATGAAATCAGACACGAAAGCGTACTCTCTCTGAATAAACATACTTTTTTATGAACGAAATTAAATTTCTGACCCTCAAAATAAAGGAGGTAGCCACAATTTCGGAAATATGGTCCCCATAGTTTGGTCTGAGAGAGCGATACGAAGTTTGGGCCACTTAATGTTAACTATACTTTTTGCGTATTTTGCCGTATCTCGAAATTTTTTTTTAGAGAAAGGAAAATTTTTTACACGAAATTATAAAATTATTACTAAAAATGTACTTATTAGTTATTTTAGTAAAAATGTATTATTTTTTTATTATTTTATTTAATAATGGTCGAAAATTTTTTTATTTGTAATTTATCCAATCTAAAGTATGTAATTTTACATGGATACTATCCATTTACTATCCATTTTAAAGTATGTAATTTTACATGGAAAATTATGAGCTTTCGAGAAAATTGGCTGAATAGTTCCTGAAAAATCGAATTATAAATATTGGACTTCTTTAAAATTCGATTTCTCAGGAATTATTCAGCCGATTTTGCTCAAATTTTGTAATATCCTATGTAAAATTACATACTTTAAAATATGCTACGTAAAATAAAAAAATTTATACCTTACAATTCAAATTTTTTTCAACTATTATTAAATAAAATTAAAAAAAATAATAAATATTTACTGAAATATTTTTTTACGGTTCACTGTTCTCAAAATTTCAAAATGAGAATAGAATATTTTGTGATTATTGAAAAACGATTAAATTTTTTTAATATTTATTATTGACCTAAACGTTCGATTGATTTCTTATTCTTGTCATCAGGTGTCCAGAATGACATCTGGGAAGGAAAAAGCTGCAATGGTGATGGATGCAGAATCCACAGTGGTACAAGACTACGAGGAAGATGTACCAGACCGGGGACATTGGACTGGGCGGTTTGATTTTTTGTTGGCTTGCCTTGGAAATGCTGTTGGATTGGGAAATGTTTGGAGATTTCCATACCTTTGTTATAGGAATGGGGGAGGTAAGTACTGCACTTAACATGTTTCTTAATTATTCTTATTCAAAATAAAAGTTAGCAATTTTATTTCATAAAATATTATTTGGTCAGTGTTCGGTGCAGTGAGTTTAATGCGTAGAGAGCAGCACATATTACATAGAAAATCCCCGACAGACTTGTAGCCATTCGAAGCGCTCTAGTAGCAGATTGAAAAAAAAAATAAAAATTTATTAAAACTTGAATTGGTGGCTCAGGGGAAAGAGCGTTCGCTCACCAATGAGGTGAACCAGGTTCGAATCCCAATGATGACTGGTTGATACGAATTCCGCACCCGACTCACACCGATCGCAGTGCTCACGTAAAATATCCTGAGTGGTTTATGGATCATGGGTTAGAATCCCCTGCCATCAGGCTAACCGTGGGAGGTTTTCGTGGTTTTCCTCTCCATGTAACGCAAATGCGTGTAAGTTCCATTAAAAAATCCTCCACGAAAGCAAATTTTCCTCACTACTTGATCTAGGAGTTTCCTTGTCTTCTGAGGTTAAAATTAGAAGGTTACGGCGTTGAACATTAGTAGTCGTAAACCGAATAAATTGGGTCGGCTGTTCAACGACGGTTATACAGTAGAGTCCCGATTATCCGAGCCCCGGTTATCCGAGTTTCCGCTTTAACCGAGCTATCAAATATTTCAAAGATTTTTTTTGTTCTAGTTTATTTTTAAAAAAAACCGCTGAAAAATAAATCTGAATTTTATCTTCCAAACACTCAGAAAAACAAAATCTAACAACTTGGTCTGATGAAATTATCGTTAATATCGTCAATAATGATAATGAATCTAGCGAAGATGATGAAGACAGTGATTATTAAAATCAACATATAAAAATCTCTCATACAGATGGACTAAAAGCTATCGAATGTACTATTGAATATATAGAACAAGAAAAAGAGGCGACACCAGCCTTCCTGTTATCCCTAAAAAAGGCGAAACATTGCTACAGGAAAGTTACAAAGTTACGTAGAACGAAAAACGATTAAGGACTTTTTTTAAGTAAAAACTATTTAATTCTCGCAAAGTATGATTTTTAAATGTTTTTAAGTAAGCTTTTTAATTTATAATATGAATCGTATGTGGTATTCTCGTATACTTTTTGTATTTCTTAAATATATTGCATTTATACCTTCTCCTTTTCTTTCCGTTTTTATACTCTTCGCTTTAACCGAGTTTTTCAGTTATCCGAGTTTGTTGCGGTCCCCATTAACTCGGATAATCGGGACTCTACTGTAAAATAAAATTACTTAAAGCAATGTAAACTTTTTAGTTTTATATAATAATTTACTCTGTCAGTTACCAGTGACTGACGCAGCTTAATTTTTATAATAGTCTATATTAAATTTATTTATAATAATGAACGGAAAAGAAAAACATGTTAAAATAATAATTCTTATAATAAAAGAATTTACCTTTCAATAGAATAATACCGATAAATGCATTAAGATATTTAAAACTTATTACAAGCTTTTAATTCCTTAAAATTGTTATGACCTGTATACAATAATGAATGCTTAATTTTTATTCTAAAATAAACCTTAGTTTATATTATTATAATTGAGGATTGATTGTAGTAATAACTAAAATACAGACAACAGAAAAATCGCTTATTTCCTCTAAGGAAGTAGCCCTTTTCCCGAAAATTATGTCTTCATTTTAATGCACATTTTATGTAAATATACTAATTTATGTTTAGACCAATAAGTTATTCACAACAGAATAATTAAAATAAAAACAATTAGTAATTTTGCCTTTCTTTAGTATCCAGTACAATATATTAATTATTGTCTTTCTACAGGTGCATTCGTCTTAGCCTATGTGATAATGGTATTTTTAATCGGTATGCCAGTGTTTCTGTTGGAGTTATCCATGGGTCAGTACAGTGCTTTTGGACCTTCGAAAGTGTTCACTACAATATCTCCTGTGTTTAAAGGTACCATACTTTAAAATTATATTTATCAAAAAACTTTTATAAGCTATATATGGAATAATGTTAATCAGCAAAACATATTTGATATTTATAACTAGCTTGTTACAGTTACTTTGAGTTAAGCACAGATCCCTGGAGTTAAGTTTAGCCTATCTTCAGTCAGCGCCCTCTATGTTTATTGTGAAAATGGCCCAACTTGAAAAGAAGCCACAGTTTCGGGAAATAAAAGTCTTTTCGTGCTCCTATCTTATAGTATTATTTAAAAAGCTACACCAACGATGTTATTGTATAAACTCATAAAAAGTTTCAAAAGTTAGGAAGTGAAAAACTCTCGAAAAAATTGGCGACTTTTTAAAAAAGTCAATATTTGAGACATTTGTTCGCTCTAATGTACAAATAATTGAAGGCGGTACATGTATTTAAAATTTTCTATCAGCACTGAAATTGTGGCTTCTTCCATAGCAAAAGAGTTTCTGCAAAAGAGACTGTGTTTTTTTCAAATTAAATTTTAATAAGAAACTTTTCCTCGTCAGATTATATTATTACAGACGTAAGATTATATTTTCTTTTAAGGAAAATTGGCACAATTTTCAACCTTAGTTCGGTGCTGAGTGGTTGCAACCTTTATACCGCGTTTCTGTTCAAGTTATAATGTTGTGTTTTAGCTGTACTGTATTATACTTTAACTTAACATCACATTTAGGGTGAACCTGATTTGAACGAAAATATTGTTGAATCAATACATACCAAAATTTCCAATTGTGGAAACTCATTTTATAATATTCTATACCAAATAAAGGTATTTCTTAACTACATGCTTAACAAAATTATTACTTAAGATACTTAATAACTGTCGAGTTATGTGACTTATTTTTAGAAACGAAGATGTTAATTCTTAACTAAAGATACAAATTTAAAAATCTAAGTTTATTAATATTAATTTATCTTGGTTATTATTTAGAATTAATGCTTCTGATTTTAAAAAAAAATGGGAAGTTATTTTTTGTTTTTAAATTTTTTGTCAAATAAAAATGCGATAGTAGTCATTAAATAATGTCACGCAGGCGCATCATTGAGTAAATGTAAAATAAATGCATAAACTGCTCATAAATTTCGAACTTACTATAAAGGAGAACATTAAACAATAAATTTGACTGCAATCAGCCAAAAAAACGGTAGAAGTTTTTATAAGCCTGCGCAATTAAGTTTAGCCAAAGAATATACATAGGAGGAGGAGTCTAGCTTCCATAGACATTATGCAAACCAGTCGCTCAAAGTTAGATGCAGTACCTGTGTATAAAGGGAAAAACAAACAAGAAAACCTGATTTGAAATATATATTACAAGGAATATAATCAAAATTTTAGATAAAATAAAGTTTGTCAATAACCAGAATAAAATTCATGGTGTTTTTAACAAAATGTTCGTTATTAGTAAGGGTGGCTTATAAATTGAATCATTTAAAGCGAGAAAGCTTTTTTTCTTTTCTTGGTAAATAATGAGCGAAAGTATTTATTTATTTTTTCGACACCATTTGACTCTGAATATTTTTCTCACAGGAGTGGGCTATGCCATGGTGATCTCATCATCTCTAGTCGCTATTTACTACAACATGATCATTGGATGGACCTTGTTTTATTTTGTACAATCTTTTCGATCAGATTTACAGTGGCAATACTGCCATCATGATTTCAACACTGACAGTAAGTACGAATCTGCTTTCTTAAATTTGTGATAGCAAAGGTAATAGGCAGCGCAATCTTCATAACTTTAAATTTGTCCGCGACACACAATCTGAGAGACTATTATTGTAAGAATCAAATACTGGAGAATGGAGAACTTGTGATAAAATTAGTTCTGTTTTCTGACTAACTCAGAATTGCACTTAACAAGTCAAAAAGAAGGATCTACCACATCTGCGTGTTAATATTGATAAATTCACGGCGTCTGCGTAGATGAGTTTATTTTACTATGTGAACTTTCAAATGTTCTTTTGCTTTTAAATTATATTAGCGTTATATATTGGTCATACAGTTACAAAAATTACTTTCTGTCCAGCGAAAAATAATTAATAACCCGTTTACTAAAGACCTTAATAATTAATCCTGTTGTGCTTCGATAACCTCTGCTCCCGGGGTAAGACTGCCCTGGTAACAGAGTACCATCATTTTTACGTCAAAAAATCGCATATTTCACTTTTGAATTTTACTAAGAAGTCTTAAAATTTGCGTAAAACTAAAACGTCGAATTATAGCAAGAAATAGTTATCTAAAAAACGAAAAAATATGGGTAAATAAATTCGCTTTTTTTTTTTTTTTGTGATTTTGCCAATCACTTTTTACTAGGTAAAAATAAATACGCTATTTTTACATACTATTTTCGTCAAAAGTACGTCACAATTTAAGTAAGTTGAAACAGTGAATTATAGCAAAAATTGGTAATCCGAAAAAAAAAAAAATCGGAAAAATTTAGTACAGTTTTACATAAACAAATTTTCTTCTTTTGCAACTATTTTACCAGCCACTTTTTACTAGTTAAGAATGAGTGCGTTATTTTTACATAATGTTTACGTCAACAATACGTCAAATTGTGCGTAAGTTGAAGCTTCAAATTGTACAAAAATTTGGATAGTCAAAAAACAATAATATTTAAAAAAATTGAATCCATATGCAGCTTATTACCAAGCTACTTGATTTTTTGCAAATTAATTATTTTTTTTTATTTTTTTCAATTTCCAAAGTTTTATTTAATTAAATAAAAGATAATTTTCCAAATCATCAATTTTCCTAAAGTTTTATACCTACAAATATAAAAACAAGCATTAATGAGGAACTGTAACCTACAGTAATTGAGTAAGTTTAGGAATCAAAAATAAATATCTTGCTCCTTATCTCAACAAATTTTCGTACTTTAAAGAGATAATTAAAAAAAAAAAAAAAAAAAAAAAAAAAAAAAAAAAAAAAAAAAAAAAAAAAAACAGAAATTTTGATATGAAAAATAATTTGCAACTGCTGAATAAAAGTTTTGATTTTTTTAAAAACTTTTTTCCGCAATTTTAATTTAATGCAATTAAATAAATTTTTAAAAACGAATGCAAATTCAAAACATTAATATTTTATGTTAAATAGTTCTAGTTTTTATGATTCTTTCACTCACTTATTATATTTTGATCATTTATCACTACGTTTTTGTAAGTTTTACATTCCCCTTCATTAAACTTTTTTGGGGTTCTATTGTATTGAATTTTCCTTCCTAAGTTGAGGCATTTACTCCACAGCTACATCTACTGCAGCAACCCTCTATAAAAAAAATAGTTAAACCTAATTTTGTGGTTAACAATTATAATGATTATAATAGTTAGCTTCAAGGTATGTCTAGACTTCCTGTTCTCATCTTGCATAATCATTTTTTTTCTTTTTCATGAACTTGGAGATTCATTACTTAAGTGATCAATTTTTGTAAAATATCGATTTAAGACTTCTTTACTATCCCATTCGTCCTTCACAGAACTTGGTGTCCTTGTTTGATCACGGACCTAAATTGATTCAGATTAAAATTCGTTCGAAGACAACCAACTTTCCATTCAGGTGGTGACCTTGGCGAAAGACCATAATTTTCGTCATCAATTTTTCGCTTTTCACTTGGAAAATTAATCGACACGTAAAGGTTGTTCTTTAATGTGAGAAAAGAACAAAGAAATTTTATACGCAAAAAAAACTAATTTGTTCCGTTTATGAGTGATTTATAAGTGTTTTTTTTTTTTAATAAAACAATTCTCTCATCCTGAAATATTGTTTTGATCATTAGCATCTACGCCAGACATTGAGAAGGCACAAAATATTTTCATAAATCAGAAAAGAATGCTTTCTTTTTTATATGTTCTTCACAATTGTCACTCTCAAGGAAGCATGTATGGAATCCGAATATCCATACATGTTTCTATATACGTGAATATCTAAAAATAGGGATGAGCTATTGAAGAAAATATCGTTTAGGCATTTCCGTATATTATGTATAATATCCTCGCAATAAACATATAATAGTTCATGTAGAAAAATGCAAACATCTGCGTCAAGCATCGAGGCTATACACTTGGAAATGTTTAACGCACTATATGGGAATTTAAATTTTTATGATCGTATTTAATGCAGCTTCAGAGTAAAATATCAAATATTAAACACATAAGATTATTAGCCCTTTTATTCATATTGACATTTTGTGCCATTTTCAGATTCAGAATAGATAAGCAAATCTTAATACGTTCTAACCCCGTTATTATAAACCCGGGATATATTTTATTTTACTATCGTCGTTTAACAGCCGACCCAACTTTTAGGGTTTACTACTATTAATGTTCAACTCCATGGCCTTGTAATTTTCAACCCGATCCAGAAGACAAGGGAACTCCTGGATCAAGTATTGAGAGAAATTTGCCTTCCTGAAGAACTTTTTTGATGGAACTCACCCGCATTTACGTTACATGGAGAAGGAAACTACGAAAATCTCCCAAGAAAATACCAACGGCAAGGAGACTTCAACCCGTGATCCGTCTACCACTGAAGATATTATATGTCAACACTGTGGTCTCAGCGAGCCGGGTGCGGAATTCTTATCGATTTGTCCTCGCTGGGAATCGAACCCGGCTTACCTCATTAGGAGACGAACGCCCTATGCCCTGAGCCACCACTGCTCGAACCCGGGATATAGTGGAATCCAGGATAATATTCGTCTTAAGTGAATGTTTTTATCGGTCCTTTCCAAGCTGTTATTTAATAATAATCTTTCATCAGCTTACAGTGAGCGGCCAAGAAATTTGCAGTTCATTTATAGTGGACTCGTATTTCCTTTCTGCAAGAATTTAAATAAATGTTACATAACTCAAAAAGTATATGATTAGGACTTTTAATTATAAATGAAGAATTATTTAGAAAATTCATTTTGGCGTAATTTTGAGGTTCGAGTTAAATATAGATATTTCTATCTAGTGGAAAAAAATCATTCTCTAAAACACAATTTTATTCGCCAAATGTACGATTTTATTCCATTTGGCTAGGTGGTGAGGTGAATGCTTAGCGCGGGTCCTGAGTAGGGAAACAACCACTTTGTCAGAGAAAAATTAGGCATGTTATTTAACGTTGTGATTCAAAATTTCGTTACTGAAAGAAATTCACTGTGAGTGAACTATGTTGTTGAGAGACTCTATACATTTAATTACTTAATAATATATAAAGCGAATTCTTTACTATTAAAGATATCATTTCCTATGTTACAACTGCAATACGCTAAAAAATATTTTTCATAGATTTTGGATATAGTGAACAACCATTTATAGTGCGTTTATTGTTGCGTCTGCAGACGGTTCATTAAAGTGGGATTCGACTGTATAACGACATTTATGAATAACTGTTGCAAACTCCGAACGGTTATAAAAATAACATATGTATCTGTAAAAATACCATGTTATGTTATTTCGAGCCATGATGACTCAGAGGATAGAGAGTTCGCATTCCAATTATGTGAACCGGGTTCGAATCCCAACGATGGTTCCACATCCGGCTTGCACCGATCACAGTGCTGACGTACAATATCCTCAGTGGTAGACAGATCATGGATTAGCCCCCTTGCCGTCAGGCTAACCATGGGAGGGTTTCGTTGTTTTCCTCTCCATGTAACGCAAATGCGAGTTAGTTCCATCAAAAAAGTCCTCTACGAAAAGCAAAATTTAGCCCAATGCTTGATCTAGGAGTTCCCTTGTCTTCTGAATTGGGTTCCAAATTAGCAAGGCTACGGAGTTGGTACTCGTAAACCAAAAATTGGATCGGCAGCTCATCGACAGTTATAAATATAAATATTATATTTCATGTGACGTCGATGGTCTCGAAAAACATTAGTAGGGATCGTCGGGGATTCACGATTTTTTTCCCGGCTTGATTTTTCCATATTAATAAAACATTATAAATGTGGAACGACTATGAACAGCCATAAAATCCTGTTCTTATGCAAAATAAATCTATATGTGGCTCATCAAGCTAATTAAAATTCAGAAAAGGGGACACCAATCGAGTAATTTTGAGAACACATATATATTAGGCTCATACACACTGACATTGAGTTAAAACAAAAACCCGAAAACTTAATCTGAAAATATAAATTTGTTACTAAAAATAATTGCAAAAATCTCAGTAATCGATAGTACGTACGAACTATTTTCGAAAATGAAGTCTATTCCGCTGAGAATACTATCTGCAAAACCTTCATTAATTTTTCAAGGAACTTAGATAAAACAAAGAGATGATACCATCAAATGTGCAACTTTTTAAGGGGGAATTTAAAATAATCACAATATGATTAACATTAAAACTCATTCGAGCTATTCATAATTTGTATAATTAGTTTTATTACTGCTCATATTCAGATTCAATACGTTATGATGGGTATGTCAACTGTGTCTTGCGAAGTTCTTTCACCAAGAAAAATAAAGAAGCCACTGTTGAGGTGCTTCACGGTTGAAGCAAAGCTATAATTTTGCATATACCAGCATGCTAGAAAGAATTATCTGGACTTTAGAACGGACTGATAACTTTTAAAAATTATCATCCTTTTTTTTATTTGAAAATTAAGTCACTAAAGATTTTTATTTTTACAAAACTGTAGCGTTTCTTTTTATTGATGTTTTGTGCCATTTTTAGAATAAGCATAGAAAGAACTGATTAAAGATAAGCTAAATTCAAGCTAACAATCATGAATCACTGTTGAAAGTGTGCTTTAGTTATGAAAATAGTATATAGTTCACTAAGAAAAAATATATATACATTTTAGGTGACAAGAGCCAATCGAAAAGTAATCTTAATATTTTGCAACATTTTCCAGCTTTCTTGTAAACTTCTACTGGAGTGTTCGTAAAACAAAAACTAGTGTTCTAAGTTAACCTTAAAAAAAAAGCAAATGAATGCTTAGTTTAGTTGTTCTAATTTTTCATATTTTTGTAGGATGCTTCAGTGATGTTGCTTTCCAAGCTTGTAAGTCTGATAACTCAAGTAACGTCTACAACTTCAGAACATGTTACAATGAAACATATGCTGCGCAACAAAATCTGACAGATCTTCCAGAAGATCTGAGAATTTCAGCACCAGAAGAATACCTGAAGTAAGCAATACAAGGTGTCACTTAAACTATACCATAAAGGGGGGATTCTAGAATTTGCGATATTTAATTTAGCCTAAAATCACGTGAATTATTTAGACCTGTTTAATAAGTTTCAAATTTACCCCTCCACCTGCCCTAACACACTTCTCTATTCCACTGTTAAAGTTTCAGAACCAACTTTTAAAGTCCTCATTCAATTCTGGTGTTAGGGTTATCCTAATGATTCCTGGTTGTTATCGAAGACATTAAGAACGTCAGAATTCGAACAACAATCAGATAGAGGACTTTGCATTACGACAGGTGGAGATTACATCAAAATAATTTAAATAGATATGTAATTCACATAATATTTTTTAAGAGTTATTAGAGCGGTTCCAAAATTAATAGCACACGTTATATATATCTATTTATTTGATATTTATCTTGCTTTAATAAATTGTCTACTTTATCTATTTATATGTTTGTTGTCTATCTATCTTCAATTACTTATTATATATCTGTCCATTTATTCATTCATTTCTAATACTTTTCTGAAAAACGCTGTTACATGTAGTTAAGTTGCTTATAATGATTAAACTAATAATCATGTCGTATATTTATAGTCTGTTGCAATTAACATTTTGTTATTATTAAAATTGTCTTTCATTTTTCTAACAAAAATTAACGGTTGTGTGCAATAAATAGAACATAGATAGTATAAAAATAATTGAAGATAGTTTCAATTATTCATATGTAAACCTTGCACACAAACTCGACATACAATCTCATTTATCATTGTTAAATATTCATTGATATTTGTTAGTGGTTAATAAATGTTCGATAGCAAAACTTTTCTGCTCGACAAATAAGTAGAAAATTATAACAATGTCATAATGTTGGTAAAGGTAAAAAAGAAGAAATTAGCAATTATTCAAAAAGCATTAAAAACAAAACAACTTTATTTCGTGAAACAAACTGTGTGCACACTCAGAAATAAAATCCTCTCTTTTGACGATTCAGCAATCCTTAAGCAGTACTTTGTTAGTTAATTTTGGGAATAATTTCGTTACGAAATCACGTGACTTGTGACGAAGCGCGTACTCTCAAATATATGACGAAAATGTTTCCTCGACTCGAGACCTCATCGTAGTAGACCTTATCCATGAGTTACAACAGGTCTAGTGATTGTTTTATATAGCATTTTTTGTCTGTTAAATAATTTTGACTTTCGAAATGTTCTTAAGCTATGAAGGCATCGATTAGCTGCTATAATGCTTCTGTTCATCTCTGTGTTTATATCGTCTAAAGCATTAATACTTGAACCAAGATAAGTGATCATTATAAATTACCTGTAAAAGATTTCCTTCTCTTGAAGGGTTAATTTTGTTTTTATTATTTTATGGCTGACCGTCAAACAGTCCGCAAAATTTCCCAAAAAACAGGAAAGCAAACAATGAAATTTTATTTGTATAAAAACCCCTTTACTGGAGGTTTCATTATATCGTGATGATGAGTACGATAACAAGTTTGCATGTAGTTGGAGATGGGATTGCACAACATTTAACTGTCATCCTTCACAATCGAAAATGTTAAATGACCGGGAAACAGTGTCTGTCGCGTGCTTTGTCTGGCCATGACATTCCTCAAAACTACAAAGTATATAAAGTAACACAAATATGATGGACATTGAAAACTCGCACGATTGCATCCAGTTAATATCATTTTAAGTCATATAACACGCCAGCAATAATTTTGAAAAGACCTATCAGTCACTGTAGGTGACTTTGGTTTCTCACAATATTCCATCCTTCTAAAATTCTTGTCCAGGAAGCAGGCTTCAATAATTTCCTCTTGAGCAAGAAAATAGGCTGCCCTATGTTTAAGGTGTTTTTCTAATTAGTTATGCAAATATTGGCACTGTAGTTTAAATTTATACTAAGTTTAAATTTTAAAATGTTATATTTATTTCAATATGTAGTTTAAATTTTCAATTTAAACATGGCGCAGCTATTTAAATTTTTACCAAGTGACAATTTTAGTTTTTATATTAAGTTTGTAGTGTACACGTGGTGTACAATGCGCAAAAAAAAGGAAAAAAAAAAGGAAAAAGAATATTGAAGATTGTTTGATCTAATAATCGGATTTCCACGCATTATGACTCAATCTTAACGGTTCGAGAAACTAACCTTAAATCTGTTAATTAATTAGAATTGACAATATTTTATGTTATGATATTAGTGACAAAAACGTACTTTCTCAGAATAAATAAACACATCTTAATTTCAACGGATTAAATTTCCTGACCCTCAAAGTGTAGTTTCATTAAAGGCAAATATGGTTCCAGGAAAACGGTCGAAAGTTTGCACCCCTTAATTTTGGTTTTTGTGCATTTCGCAATTTTTCAAGAATTTTTTAAGGGAATCGAAATCTTTATGCACACAATTATAAAATTCGTTTATCCAAAGATAATTCCATGCAAAACATAATTTTCAATAATTATTTTATTTAATAATAGCCGAGAAAGTTTCAGATTGTTAGGTATACAAATTTTGTTATCACTTTAAGAAGCAAAATACAAAATTTATGCGCAATCGGTCGAAAAGTGTCAGTTCGACTATTCGAATTTCTGTTCTGCCGAAAAGTTCTGAATTTCGACTTCTTTTTTGAAGTTGAACTTAAGTTTAACCGATTTGGTTCGAATTTTGTATTTTTCAATTGAACTTTACATTCTTTAAAAAGAAAGAAAAATGTGCATACCTATTAATTCGAAAATTTCTTTGATCATTTTTAAATAAAAAAAAACAGTAATAAATAATTATTAAAAATATTTTTTGCATATCATCATCTGTGGATAAGGGAATTTATAATTGCATACAAAAATTACGCGGAAAGTAAAATTTTACATTAAGGAGATAAACTATTCCCCAGTTTGTCGCAATCTGGGGAATAGAATAGGGAATAGTACTTCAATATTTTCTTAGTGAAGAATTAAAATCAGTTGGAAAAAAATAGATATTCAGTGAAAATGCATTTGAGTCTGAATTCTCACCTTAAAATATCGGTTGCACTAATTAACCAGCGAATCACTCACTCCAATTATTAGATAAAAAAATATTCCAAGTTTTCCATTTTTCATTCTGCATGGATGCTGAATTATCAGAATTAAAAACGTCAGAGCATTAAAAAAGTATTAGAACAAATTTGAATAGAGCGGACGAAGGAATTAACAGTGAAATAAAAAAGTATTAGAACAAATTTGAATAGAGCGGACGAAGGAATTAACAGTGAAACGATCGTTTTGAAATGTAATTTTAGCCAACTCTTTTGTCTAATACCGCAACTTATGTGAAAAAAATTGCTCAAGACGCAGTAGGATGCGTAGCGCGGCGAAGTTCAAGAAAAAAAACTTTCTTTCTCGGAGTTTTTTTCTTTTTTTCTCGTTGCATTGTATTCATGTAAGACTTACGAAAGTTTATCCTGTTTGTGGAATAGTCTTTGACGCTGTGTTCCAAGATCAAAATAAAGATGCTTCCTATTACAATCTGTATGAACTCAATCAGAATATGAAGAAAAAACCCACTCCACCATTTATTGCACGTTAAGGGTTTATTTTTAAAAACTCTTGCAGCTCAAATCCAGCTTCTAATTTAACTAGCCACCATAAACTTGTATACATTCAAATACTTTTTGTTTTAAGAAGATTGGTGTTGAAACTTACAGCTGATTCGCTGTTTACACGGTAATGCAATAGAGTGACGGTTGACCATTTTTGGTACTCTGTTTTGGTGATCACCTGCACGCAGATCGGAGATAAGCTAGGTTAGGTTACAGTTAGGTACAAAGGTACAAAGACAATCATCGAAATAAAAGGGGGACAATGCCACAACGGGTAAATAAAACGAAAACTAATAAAACTCAGTTAAGTTAGTGAAACAGAAACGGTTGGTTAAAATGTGATGTGACAAACATCTCAATTACTCTTTATGTAATGTGTTCCTTATTTTTTATTTATTTTCAATTCATTTATTAGCAACTACATGCTGGGTAAATCAGATAGTTTTGAAAACTATGGAACAATACGCTGGCCATTGATGTTGAGTCTCTTCGTGGCATGGATAATTGTCGTACTCAGTCTTTTGAAGGGCATTAAAACATCGGGAAGGGTAAGTGCCAATTTGAAACGAATTATTTTAATAAATAAAAAAACTAGATAAATACAAAACTTAAACTACTTTCTTTCACTAAAAATATTAGTTTTAAACCATTTAAAGATGCTGATTTTACTGTCTTTTCGCGTTAAGTTCACAGATCGGTTTCTTGTAAGTCAACCTAGAACAACATATGCAACTATTGAAGAGATTTTGGAAGAAAAAAATTATTTTTGAATAATCAGGAGGTTTATCATTGTACAAATATATGATAAAGTTCCTATTTTTCGAAAAGTGTAAAAATTATTAGTGAACGGAGAAATTTTGTTTTAAAATTACCGTATTGTATGGTAATGACATTTCTTGTAAAAAGAACAATAATTCTGGTAATCGAGCCCGAAATATACAGTATTTAAACCATAATTTTGGTAATTTTTCCGTTCATATGGCAACGGTTTACGGGTATACCGAAAATTCCGTTTTTCAAAACTATAGTTCAGATTACCAAACATTTAGTAGAAAATACAGAAAGGAGCAATAAATTTCACTGAGCAAATGGATTTTATGCCATGATCTGAGGTATCATGATAAAGTTACCCAACTTTAACGCATTTACTGAATATTATCACGTATTATAAAACCACACTTTGAAGCTAAATTTACCGAAATTATTACCAAAGAGCTTCGGTAAAAATTACACTATGTTCTGGTAGTTTTCACCATGAAGTTTTTCTTGCAAAAAAATCAGTCTTTTCTGGAAATTAGTATACATTTGAGACCGACGCAAATTAATAATAAAGTATTACTTAAATATTCAAATCTGAGCTAGTTTTGAAAGTATAAAATATGAAATAAGAAGTACGCCGTTTCGAAGAAAAAAAAAAAGGAATTTCTTGAATTATAAAGCAAACAAACGGTATCATTTTTAACATCTAAATTTTCGTGAAAAGTCCTGTGACTTTAAATAAGTCTTCGACATTTTTTAAAACCATTGTATTACTAATAAATACTCCATATAAACTTTATAAGGAGTATTTATTAGTAATTTATTAGTGATTTGGTTACATAAATTTCATAAATTTTATTTAATTTTCTTTACATCTTTTCTCTTATCTCTTTCTTTCATCTATTTTTTCTTTTCTCATAAATCGGATCTTAAAAGTTCAAATAAGAAGCAATGAATGTTTTTATTATGTGGAAAGTTAATATAATATTACACATTAAAAAATAGTGCTTTAAAAACAACATAGCTAGATTATTACATATAAGTTTATAAATTAGAAAAAGACAAAAATTGATGGTATGTTTTTCACTGTTTGCGTATTAGATGGATCTGAAAATTCCTTTCAACTTCATTAATCTTTATAATTTTTATTTTTTATTCGATTTCGTTTCAATATTGACATCCAAACAGCTGTGTAATATCTAAAATTAATGACTATTCCCCATTGTTATTGTTAGCATTTTTTCAATGTCATTTAACACACAACTTTCATTTGAACGTCCGACTATAATTATTTTTATCTTATTTTTAATAATACTCGGTTTTTGTTGCCTAAATTCAGCTTGTTAATCGTAATCAAAGCTACAAAATATTGTTGTCTCTCGATTACAACATTTATGTGCAAAAGTATAATGCATTTCGCTTACTTTTAAAATTGTTTGTTTTTGAAACTTCTGCTTTCGCAATCATATTTTTCTCTTTTCCTCTTTTACACTTTAACAAAGATATTCTAATACTTCCCTCTGAATTTGATTGTAATAGATAAAAAAAATCGAGACAAAAAAAAAAGGAATATTAACTTTTAAACAGTTTTGGATTTCATTTATTTGTACCGAGACCAGTGCCGTAACTTCACCCCTCCGGGCTCTGGGGCAAACATTTTTGGAGGAGGCCCTTTCAAAAACTTTCAGTACTCCATCTCTAACGTCATTTTAGCTATTTATGTANGATAAAGTTTCTTACTTTATGTATATCTGCCAAACTGAAGAAGAATAGCTTTTTTTTTCTTCTCTAAAATTACCTATTTTACTAAACTTCGTCTTGGCGAATTACTAAATATCAGAAGAGGCAAAGCACATAAATGTTAGAGGAATATATAAAGTTTTCTATTTAAAAAATAGCTTCAAAATTTTTTTTTTTTTAAATTACGGATTTTACTTTATTTTCGTGAGTGTCTAAATTTCAGGAGGGGCGAAACGGATCGTTTGCCCATCACTTAAATTTTAGAGGGGCCCTCTGCCTCCCCCTGGTTGGCACGCCACTGGGTCTGACGCTAGAGTGTAGAAGAAACAACTAAAGTTAACCAGAAGTGTAATAAATAGAAAGTGTTAACAGTCAACTACACGCAGCTGTGGCCTTTCCTCTTCTCTACAAAGCGTGTTTGTTCTGTTGGGAAAGGGAAATAATTCGCGAAAAGGTGTTTTACAGTTTTTTACCCTTCCCTTTATGTTATAGTAGGTACGCAATTACAAAAAAGAAAATGTTCATCAACTCTATCTTAACACTATTTCTTTCCTACATATATATAATTAGAGTACTTTATTTTGTAAAAACATGATGTGGTCTCTTCATATGGGGCCCCCTTGATCGTCGGGGCCCCGGGGCGGTGCCCCGACTGCCCCGGCGTAGTTACGGCCCTGACCGAGACCAGAAAAACATTTGCATTACCTTGAATACAATTTGTTTGAATGATCGGATTTTCATGTACTTATACTATTTTTTTTAATTCCAAAGTTCCACTTCAAATATGCTTGTTCATTTATTACTAAACATTAATCATGCTACGAAAGACAGAAAAAATGTACTTTCTCTGAATAAGGAGATATTGGATTCAACGGATATAAATTTTTCGCCATCAAAATGCGTGGGGTAGCCAATGTCTAGAAAATATGGTGCAAAGACTACCAAGTAACAAATAATTTTAATAACTATTTATTAAATTTTATTATTTTGTTTAAAGAGGTGGAAAATTTTTGAATACTAATGTAAATTTTGACATCATTTTTAACTACGTTATATTAGATGACAAAATACAAACTCTGAACGAAATCAGCTTCAAAACTCATATTTTTAAATTTTCATTTCTCATGAAACGTTCCACTCAAACTTTAGTATTGTGTCATATAAAATCACTGAGTATAAAACGATGTAAAAAGTTGTATGCCCTACAATTCAAACTTCAATTAATAAAAAATATTAAATAAACATTATAAATTAGTTTTTACATAATATGTATTATCTTTAAAAAATAAAAATAATTTCCAATTATGTGTGCTGCGGAATTTTTTTCGAGGGGCTAAAATGTTCTTGTGATATGAACGAAATATGAAACAGTCGATTAAACATTTAGGAAGGCCAAACTTTCGGCCATTCAATTGCTTGAACTATTAGAATCATATTGTCCTGATTGCGGCCGGCTACCCCCCCCCCCCCCCNNCCCCCCCCCCATTTAGATGGTGAAGAACCGAAATCCGTTGCGAAAAAAAATATAGAGAGAATATACCTTTTGGTATCTAATTCCGTAAACTACTTAACATTCAGTACTAATTAAGTATCATATTTGAAGTCATCAGCCTTTGAACCATTAAGAATTTACTTTGTTCTTGAAAATCCGATTATTCAAACAAAAAAGTAACACATCATTAAAAAGAGAAGCAAAAGTAAAAGTAATCGATAGTATGTACTTTTTTTCTTCTCTATGCATTACAAATGCAAAATGTGCATGTCTGTTATCAGATGATTGCAAATGTTCGTATTCAATTAAAAAACTAAAATAACGCAACCTAAAAAATAATTTCATTTATCGATTGTGTATTTTTAATGATTTTCTATAACTGTCTCTCAAATTTAAACAGTTTGAATTCCTTCTTTGTGAAAAACAGCGTTATTTCTTTATTTCATTTATTTATTTACTTATTTAGATTTTTTTTTTATTTCGCTTGCTTATTTATTTATTTTTAATTAATTGATTCATTAATTAATTTACTTACATATTTTCATAAAAGAAAATCGTAAGAACGGTTTTTGATTTCTTCCCCCAGAATGGGTCCTCTGTCAAATTACAGAATGTAAGGCGGAGTAGGAGGATACCTCTTTTGAAATCTTTAGTTTTTGCCGTGTCTGCTCAGCGACATGTGGTGAAAGATGATACTTTTTTGACTAACCAAATGAGGACATTTTCCCTTGATTCCAATATTAAGTTAAATTAGTGGCTCACGATAATCTACTCCACAATCATTTGTTGGTCACGTTTTTTAGGAATATGACCGGACGCTGCGAAGCTTTCTTCTTATCCTATTTAAGTCGGTCACGAACCTTTGCAATCATTTGGTATACATGGAAAATATGAAAGTGATAACATAGAGTCTATTTTTTATGTTCATTGGAGGATTTTTATTAAGATTTTTTTCTTTTTTCAACTCTTAAAAATCATTAATGTTTTAATTAATATCTATTATCAATATTTATAATTAATATAGCTCATTAATATTTTCTGAACCAATACGGAAGAAACAACAATGAAACTTTTGTTTTTGATGCTTTTCTAGCAATCGCTTTCATTAATTTTAATCATTTGCATCCCTTACAGTTTAAAATATTTTTGAGGTTTATTTGCCGTTATTTTGAGGTGTCGAGGTTGATTGAAGGTTTTTTCTGAAGTTGATTTCAAAAACAGCCTTAAAGGATCAACTTCCCAAGGTGTATAATCAAGATGTTTTATTTACACTTGAGGTAGAAGTTGTTTTGAGGTTGATGGAAATCTACCTTAGAGCAACCCAGTTTAGGGAGGTTGTTTTTGAGGAGTACGGATTATTTTCTCTACTCAAGTATATTTGAGATGTGAATAATTTCACCCAATCTAAACTAAAATTATTTCAGAGTTGTACATGAGGTTGGTTTTGTGAGGCGTAAATGAGGTTGAAATTGAGGTTTGTTAATGAGTATATTTTTGGTGCAGATCATTACCTCATTTTTTACCTCAGGTGTATTTTTTCATCTGTCAACCTCTAAACAATCTCAAAAAACTCCTTATCTTTGTAAGGGGTCTTACCTCGCATTACATTTCATGTAAGTTTGTTTCAATTTGCATAACTCCTTGGTTTTGCAATTTTCACAAACATGAATGTAGTAATTAAAGGGACAATAAAAGTAACATTATACTATGAGTATTAACAACAACTAAAATAGTTATTTCAAGTACTACGGAAATGATTGTAGTAATATTACTATCTGTTGTAATAAGAAATATTTTTCTAATTTTAGGTGGTGTATTTTACAGCTACTTTTCCATACGTCATTCTGGTCATCCTCTTTTTCCGTGGTGTAACATTAGAAGGAGCAGCTGATGGAATATATTTTTACCTTGTTCCTGATTTCCAAAAACTCCAAGAAATAAGCGTAAATTATTTAAAGTATACTTTACATGAAATCGTAGGAATTGAATGACCGTTATTTTCTTCTGCTTAAAATATTTGCAATTTAAAATTACTGAATTGGAATATAAAATGACATTTAAATAATATTTTAAATTAGTAATTTTGATAATATAATTATACTGAAAGCTATGAAATGATCGCGCTTAATGTATATATTTTTAGAATCCTTGTAAAACATGAAGTGAAAAAACACAAATTAATTTTAAAGTTATAAATAAGCGATAACGTTTCTAATGAATATTGAGAACGCAAAAAACAAAGAAGGGGTTAAAATAATCTAATTTTAGAATGAAGTTTGTAGGTAGTGACCAAAGAAAGGCAAATGCATTCCAGTCTGACTAGATAAATAAACAGGGGTTACATATTTTTTGAAATTTTTAAATTTTTTTATATATATAAGTGGGTGGATAATTACAGAGCAACCAATATGTAACGTCATTATGGTCTCTCAATTTATTTTGCAAGTAAAATACCATAGAAACAGCAACGTAAAAAATCTCAGTTACGTATACTTCAGAAACAGTATACTTACGTATACTTCATCCACAGACGCTCAGTTATGATCAGAACAGATCTGATAATCGTTGAGTTGTTGTAACAAAATTATGTAATACATTTTTACTAACTCCAATCTCTTATGAAGAGTTGAGATACTGAAATAATTAACAGTTACTTGTAATTTAAAAATTACATTAAAATATTCTACCTAAAAATATGATAATCATTTGCTTCAAAGCATGGTAAAAATTAAATATTTCTTAGCCTCAAAGTTGATTAGTAATTTGATAAAGCGTATATCTTTTCTTTCAAAAACCGGTGTATGAAATTTCCAGCTGAATTTTATAACCATAAAACTATTTCTTTTTCTAAAAATAAATTTATTCTATAGGTGTGGCAGGATGCAGCCATACAAGTATTTTATTCTTTTGGGATTGCCGGAGGTGGAATGATAACTTATGCAAGCTACAACAAATTTAACAATAATTTAATAAAGTAAATATACTTCCTTATTTTCAGCTATCACTGCTTCATTTATGTACTTTTATCAAGTTATTCCGAAATGTTCGAAAATTCGGAGAATCGAAATTTTATTTTACCTTCTTTGGAACAAAAAAAGCCTAGAACCCGTAATTGTAACGAACTTCAGACAAAATTAGTATACCTAACTGCTTTTAATACAGCTAACTACCTTTTTTTAGATTAAAGCCGGATTACGGTCTACGGTGCTTGTTATTTAACGGTAAAAACTTATTTTACTGAAATCCGTTGCAATAACTGAGTTTTTTTTTCCTCAAAAAAGACAGTATAAATCAATTCTACTACAAATTTTACGGAAATTTCTTAGAGCGTTTATCAAATATTGTGGGAAGCTACTGATGCGTAGCGTCTTTAAGATGTTTCGCCCTTGTCTGTATTACTGAATTCAATAGATAAAAGAAACATTGATTTGGTTGGTTGTCTTCCTTAAGGACGTAAAACATCGCTTCCGATAATGGAAGCAAATTACCTAATCTTCTAAGAAAGGATATTGATTGTAAAAATTATGTTTAAAATGCAAAATTCAGACAAAAATATGAGAGCTTTCCATGTATTAAAAGAACATTTTGCTTAATTGAGCTTTCGTAAAAATTGGAGGAATGCGATATAGAAATTTGTGATAAGTTTATTTATAAGAATATTTAATGAAGAGGATCGAAATATACTTTACTTATGTCACAGAAATTATGAATATTAATTAAAGTAAACGCTTATCTCTCTCTCTCTCTCTCGATATATATATATATATATACACTGTAAGACCTAGAGCCTGTTAGATTTAATCAGGATATTGATTGTATATTTGTCTACAATATATCATTCCGGAAAACTCATTGAAGGGCTACTTTTTTAATAAATGATTTTTTTTTCCATAAAAAGTCAAATTACCTGATCTTATCCAACTAGTGGGATAAAATCGGGTGCACATATTAATTCGAGCGAAAATTTAAATATAGTAGAATTTCAGTAACCAAAAAGTAGCAGACATTTCTATTTTATCTGACAATTTAAGAAAATTACGCACTTAATTTTCATGTGATGTAGTCAAAGCCATGCTCAAGGAGGAAAGGGCGAGAAGCAATTGTCCTCGGGGACCGGGACTGCTGCCTAGCTGAAATTTCTTACAAAAAATATATAGCTCATTAATTAGTTTTTTAAGGAAAACTTTAGAGATCTTCTTTATATCTACATAAAAACTACAATTTTGTATAAAGGGTCTTCAAAATATGAAAATNTATATTTCAATGGTATGTTTTCAGCCTTGAATTCCTAAAATAGAATCTCTCTACGCTTATTCTTTAACAAAGACATTTTATGAAAACGAAAGAGATTTAATTCTTTTATTAATACAAAAGTATTTCATTTTTGTATTATATATATATATATATATATATCAGTATATATATAACAGTTTTCTTCACTTCATCATCAGCATCAGTGATCTGTTAACCATTATTCATTGCGAACGAAATAAATGAATATTGATTGAAATTTCTCACAGAAATATTGGATATCTCATAGAAATGTAATGAATACAGACATAGTATACTTTTTTTAAAAAAACTTTTTTTCTTCACAGAGATGTGATCATCATCGGCATGGGTGACATGTTAACCAGCATATTCAGTGGATTAGTCGTATTTTCTATGCTCGGATTTATGGCACTTCAAATTCAAAAATCAATACACGCTGTCGTCAGTTCAGGTAATTTAAATGTTTTATCTTCCGTTTTCATAAGCGAGAAAATATTAGTTTGACAGCTCAAATTTTTTTAAGATCTCAAAGCGCTTTCCATGACGCTTCATACTAACTCAACTGAATAAAAGTATTGAGATGCATCTTTACAGTCAAAATTTGCATCAATCATGAGCTGTGGCACTAATTACAGGTATGGCGCCGTCTTCCCACACAACATAAATGTCACGAGCAGCTTTTGTGGCCTTAAAACATACAGTAAAAGCAAGATTAAGAGGCTGTCAAAAATGCTCATTTTTTCTCAATTTAACATTTCATTCTAATCATCTGATCATCTAATCATAAATTAACGAAAAAAAATCCAATAGAACAAAACATTCCTTTTTGAATGTCTAAAAAAGTGGCAGAAATATTTACAGACTCATGAAATATTAAAGTTTGATCTTGTTTGAGAGGATTTAATTGCCAATCCAATATTTCAAGATTTTTCATTGTTTAAATATGCATGTAGATACTAGAATGGAGAAATGGTATAATTATGATTACGACATTTTGATAAAATTATTATTCAATTAATGCCTTGATTATATTATTAATATATTTATAATTTAATATAAATTATTCAAAGCAAATAGGATGAATAAAAATAAATTCTTGTATTTTAATATCTTAAAAACTAATTACTTATTTTCAAAAGAGGCATTTTATATAGGAAAAAAACTAATTTTAAAATTTTTTAAAATAACTTTTACAGTGTTGACTCAATGCATTTTAAAAGAAGGCAATATAATTTAATTTGCATAATCCTTTTTCTTTATTTTTTATTTTTTCAATTTTTGAGAATGTACGCATATATAAAGGGAAGAAAAGTTTTTGCAAAATGAGTTTTAAAAAAATCTAATTTATCTGAAATTTAAGAACTAACAATAAGTAAATAAAAATCAAATTCTGTAATCGAAAAAAAAATCGATGATTTCTGACCCGGTTTTTAGTATTTTTTTTATTCCGAAAAAAAAACAAAAAAAGAAACAGATTTACTACAAATATTTTTTTGAAACTTAAGAGTCTTTGAAAACCTATTCAACAATTAAAGAACTGCGTTGCATCAATTTAACTTTAAATTTGCCTATTGAAATTTTAGATGGTTTTTCTCTTATTTACTAATTATTCTGTGATTCGTGATTTTCGGGCCGTTTCCAAAAGTTTTGAGAATAACACAGATCTAAACTTTAAGTTCTGACAACAACAAAGTTTAAATTTAATTCACAGTAACAATTTTAGAGTATATTTACAATTATATCAAGTAACATTGCTTTCCTTAAATATCATAAGAAAAATCTTTTCGATACGCAAGGGATTTCAAAATTTTAGTTCTTATTACCTCACTTAAAAATACAAAACTTAAAATTAAATTTAACCTTATAAATAGTTTTGTGACATGCTCTTAGGTATCATAATAAAACTATCAAATTTACCACATTTACTACCAAGCAGGATAGTAATAAAACCATATTTTATTGCTAATTTTACCAAAAGTCGTTACTAAAGAGCTTCGGTAAAAATTACTGTGCTTTTTGATGTTCGCATAGAGTCAAAAATATGGTAAATATCACCATATTTTGGTAGTTATGATAATACTTTTTTTTTCTCAGAGTATAAAATATGTAAGAATTAGCTGTTAATTTTATTGTTCCACCATTTGAGAAGTGATCTCATCTCACAATTTATAAAAATACATAAACAAGAGCAAAAATCTGTGATATAACACATAAGTTTCAGTCATGTATATCGCACTAAAAGATTTTTAACTGAACATTCTAACTATTATTTAGAGCATTCGAATTTTATTTATTTATTTTATTTTCAGGTACGGGGTTAGCTTTTATTGCATATCCCGATGTTCTAGTACGCATGCCTGGAGCAACTGTGTGGGCTATTTTGTTCTTTTTCATGTTGTTTTTACTCGGAATAGACAGCCAAGTAATTATGCTCCTGCATCTTCTATTTTTATTTCAAAATTTAATCCTAAAACTCTTTTTATACCATTTATTTTCATTTGATTTCTTTCAGTTTGCAGCAGTTGAAACAATTATAACATTTGTTTTTGACCAATTTCCAAAAACAAGAACGAAAAAACCGTTTATAGTAATTGGTACCGCTCTAGTATTATTTTTACTTGGACTGCCTTTGACTACCAATGTAAGTAACTATATAATTGTTATTAATAACATATTAAACTAACTTAACAATTTCATGGCCATTAAAAAGTAAATTAGAAAGATATTTTTCTTCAACTATGAAATTTTTCTTTCTTTATTCGTTATTATTAATAATTACTTCAATATTCGTTAATGTTTAAATATAATTTAGAACAAATCAAACATATTTATGTTACATATTTTTTTCGTTTTATAATTAATAAAGACTCATTAACTCTATGGTTGTTATTCATAACACATTAAACTAAGTTAACAATTTCATAGGCATTAAAAAATAAATTATGTATATAGATATTTTTTGGACAATAAATGTTTCTTTCTTAAATATTCATTAATGTTTGAGTATAATTTAGATTGTAGCAAACATATTTATGTCACATATTTTTTCGTTCTAAAAATAATAAAGATTCATAACGTCTAGGAAATGCACAACATGGTGATTCACCAGCATTTAAATTTACTTCGAAATGAATAACTCAACTTTAAAAAAATATTTTCCTTTAACACAACTTTCATACCCTACGATAATAAAATGAGTAATCCCAAGAAAATGAATCGAAAAAATATACTAAAAAATATAAGAGCTTCATTTCCTTCCGAAACATATCGACTTCTTCCACCTTTATAATTTGTGAAACAAATGAAATATTACATTATTATCAAGTATATGTTTCGACATGGTAAAGAAAAATGGGCTTTTTTTTTTGTTGCGAACACTGCTGAATAATGATTAAATATTTTTTTAAAAGAAAAATGTTGGTAAGAATAGAAAAGTAAATGCCATGATCAATTGTGTGTATAAAACTGGTAATTACTATTTATATCGAAGTACTGAGAATTTTTCTCCTTTTCAAGTATTGCATCAAAAACTAGAAGTATTTTATAAGTAGATATTTTTTTTTTTTAAATAACTGTTGTTTTGTTTCGGACAGAAAAACTAAAAAGGCCGACTGTGAAACATCAAGGAGTGATCAATAGTATTTTTAAAAAATGCGTCCAGAATTAAAAAAAAAAATTATTTAAAATTTAATATTTTAGTGGCGGATGGCGATACGAGGCATTTTAACTCATTTCTAAGGTTGGCAGTAAATATTGAGTTAATAGCTATAATAGGTAGCTTTTTTCAGATTATAAACCATTTTATTTATAGACATAGCAGAAGAAATAATTGCTTCTATAAAGCTGAGCATAATGTAATTGCATACACAATATTTCTAACGTTTTAAAATTGAAACTTTAATTTAATTTTTTTAAATGTTTAATTACGATATTCAAAAACTCCTTTCAATCAATGATGTTATAAAAATAACCATACAAAGAAATGATGAAGGATTATTTATTATTATGTTTAATTTTTAGGGTGGCATTTATTTATTAGAAGTTATGGATACCTACGCAGCTGGTTGGCCTTATCTGGTCACAGGTCTCATGGAGCTTTTTGTGATAGCTTACGTTTATGGTAGGTATTCTCAGATCAAATCAATATGGTAAGAAACTAGAAACCAGTAACAATGGACAGTTTAGCAGCAATATAAGTAAAATGTTTTCGATATGCAATCATGAATATGAAGTAGAAAAATAAAAAAAGTGAATATCCTGAATAGCTTTTGACAGTAAAAAAGGGTTTCGCAAAACTGAGCATGAATGTGTATTTAAAATTGAAACAACATAAATTCATTTTGGAGCAAAATACATAGTCTCAAAAGTAATATTGGGGGAGAAGTGGGCGAGAGAGATTTGACTAAAGCAAGATTCAAACCAAGAACATCCGGCATCGTTGTAGGCCACAGTACAGGGTGCATCGCAGTTCGTTCTAGTAATAGTACACCACAGTACAGGGTGCGTTAGGAAGCTTTATACGTCGCAATGACGCTCGTGACATACTAATTTTCAATTTCAATGTGATAAAGGATGGCAATTTGGAAAATATAATACCAATAGCTTAGTCAGGAGATAGGTTCTTGCAAATTGTTTCTAATGGAGATTGGAGCTTCACTCTTTGCTTATTTCGCTATAACTTAACTTTCAAGCGAATGGAATATTTGCAATGACGTGTCATTGCGGCGACCACTCTATACAGCTTTCTAATTCTTTTTGGACAGGAGGGCAGAACTATGGTAGTTAGAACATCCTACTGCGATTCAGGGGGTCCTTGGTCCAACTCTTGCCGACAGCAAACGAACTTCTCTCTCGCACAATTCTCCCTAAACATCAATTTTGAAACTAAGACATTTTGTAGTTCATTTACGTCGCACTAGAGCTGCACAATGGGCTATTAGCGACCGTCTGGGAAACATTCCTGAGGATGATCCGATCACATGCCATCACAATTTTGATCCTCTGCAGAGGCGATGGCACCCCCACTTCGGTAGTTCGACGACCTGTATGCGAAGTCGAGCACTTACGGTAGAACAGTTTAACGAGGACCAATACCGCACACCCTCGGTCCCTACGCAGACTAATCCAAGTGGTCGATCAGTCCAAATTTTTTCGATTACTATCTAATAAAAAATAATAAATCAAAAAAATATTTTTTACGTTAAATTATCATCGGATAAACCAATTTTATAAATGTGAGCAAAAATCTTTCGTTCAAAAGTTTAGACGACTGAAAAAGGAAAAAATAACGTAAAAAGGTAAATAATTGAAAAAGGGAGGGTAACAGTTGTTGGTCCAAACTTTCGCTCGCTATCCTCACCTTTTGGACACTATTTTCGATATTGCGGCACTCCCGACTTTTGAAGGTCAAATATCCAAATCTAATAGAGAAAAAAAGTTATCATTTTTTCCTAAAAAAAAAAAAGAAAAAAAAACTTGAAGTTATAAAACATCAAAAAAACTTGCAACACACCGTATATACCAATGTGAAATTAAGAAAACAATTAGTTAGCACATTTGTATTTTTTAAAAAATTTGTTGAAAGCAGGTAAATTTAAAAAATGAGTAAAAAAATATGCCCAGCCCTTTTTTCTACCTTTAAGTTAGTCTTAAAAAAAAGTTTACATTATCAACCAGACATTTAAACGAGCTGTCATTTTAAATTAAACGAATTCTTTAAAATAATTAATAATTATAGAAAAAGTAAAACTTACGTGCAATAATAAGAGAAAAATAAATTTCGAGGCAATAATATTATCAATGAACATTTTGTTTCAGGTATGAGCCGTTTCATGAGAGACTTGAAAGAGATGACGGGATGGAATCCCGGGTCTTGGGTCAGAAGTCACTTACTAGTCACAGTCATGACCATCAGTCCAATAGTTATAGGAGTAAGTTAAAATACATTTTATCTATTTAGACAACAGAAACCAAAAACAAGTAGTTTAGAGGTCTAGATGGTTTTGATTTAGTGGTGAAAGCATCAATGCACAACTTTTTTTTTTATTTCCGTTAACTTATTCAAAATTTAACATGACTTTCTTATTTCTGGGAATCTAAACACACGCATTATTTAAATACAAACACTTGTGTGAAATAATGGAAATAAGTTTTATAATTTAATTTTCTTGAGGGCAAAAATTAGAAGAAAAAAAAGAGAGATACTATGACGTTTTGAGCGATTAAAGTCATAAAACTCATATTAACGACTTACAATTACTTTTAATCGGTAGTCAAATATGCTCTTTTAAAAACCATTTAAGCTCAAAGAAATTGCGAAAGAAAAAGTATTTATTAATAGAAAAAGCTTTTGATTTTTACATAAAAAAGTATTTTGATCAAAAAAGGGAGAGTTATAAACATCAAAGCCAGTTTGATTGCTGGATGAAATATTATGGCGTTTCTAGTATAATCACCTTTCATTCTTAAATTCCACCAGTGATGTTTTGATGATTTTAATCGTTCTTCGTAAATGACTAGTCAAATATTAACAGCATTTTTTTTTCTTATTTAAATATTAATTTGCGATCCCCGATGTATGAGTTTTTTAAATTTCATTTCTACTGAGTATTCTGAATAAGAATGAAAAATAATAGAAGAAATATTGATTAAGAATGGTCATTATGGAATAATAGACCCGATAATTTAGCGGTGATGCCTTTTGAATACGGAAATAATTAAGAGAAAGCTGGAAATAATTTTAAAAGTTGTGTTTCGGGCTCAATATTTATATCTGAAGTTTGCCTCTTACTCCAAAGTGAACTTTAGCCGTCATCTTGAATTTACTGAGAGGATAGGGTGTCAAAAGAGAAGGAAAATTTAACTTCAATCTAAAAATCATGTGAGATATATTGAACTCAATGGCATTTTTATGAAACAATGTCGGTGAATCTAATAGTTTGAAAATTACTAAGGTTTTTATGCACAAAAAGTACAACTTAGTATTTATACCTATTTAAACCTCTGGTATTTTATAATGACTTGCGAAAAGTAATACTGTATATATATATTAAGATGAACCGAATGTGATCAAATCGAGGTAGATAGAACTGATAGTTTAGAAGCTATAAGAGTTTAAATTTTTCAAAATATAATTTTTCACTTTTGCTTTTTACTCATAAAACGCTTATATATTCGAAACTATTCATTCTATCGACGTTTTTTAAAAATTTTATTGAATTTAACAATTAATTTGAAATTAATTAAAATATGAGGAAATACATTCAAAACAATGCATCACTTTTCTATATAACAATGTCAGACGTATAAATATGCAAAGTGCGAAAAATGAACTTTTTATGCATAGAACAGGTATAAATCTTATAACTTCTAAAATATTAGTTCCTGTAGACTTGATTTGGATCAATTGGCGTAATATAAACATAGTTTTAATAATAACAAATATAAACTTATCTATCAAGCATGTCAAATGATACAAAAGAATAAGTGGAAAACAATAATTTTCATGCATAAAAATTTTATAACTTTTAAACTATTAGACCTGCCGACTTAATTTTAATTTAATTCGATTCAGTTTCAAAACTACATCGGAAATATTACCTCACTTGTCTAGATGGGCATATCAGATGCATAAATAGGTGTAATCAAAAGTTGTACTTTTTCCATACTTCATACTTAATGAATAATTTATAACTTTAGAGCTGTAAAGTCTATCGATTTGATTTGGATGTCATTTGATTTAGCGCAAATAAATACACGGGAAACAACGTCTCACTCATTAATATGATGAAGTATAAGTTTTTACCCCTTTCGACCACCTCTCCTTCTCAAAAAATTCAAGATGGTGGCTAAAGCTCCTCTCGGGGAGGGTCACATTTTGGTATCTATATTGGGCCCAAACTACAACTTCTAAAAGAATTTTCAACCTTTCTCTAATTATTTTCGTATTTAGCCTTTTCTGTAACGCGTGAACTTGCCTATTAAGCTCTATTGAAAATTTTAGTAGTAGTAGTACATTATTTAAGTCGTACTTGAGGTTCACAATCGGCTATTGGAGACGGTCTGCGAAACATGTCTGAGGATGATCCGAAGACATGCCATCACAATTTAGATCCCCTGCAGAATGGCTCTCTCGCTTTGATAACCCGACGACTTGCTTTCAAAATCGAGCACTTGAAGGTAGAACTGTATAGAGGATACCGCGAGGATACACCTGCGTAGAGGACAGATACCGCGCACTCTTCGTCTCCACGCAGACTGATCAAAGTGATCACCCAGCCACGCACTGACAGCAGCCAGAGATGTTTGACTTAGTGTTCTACTGGAAACCGCATCTTTACGATCTACAGCGGGACTTGAAATTTTTAATGTAGAGTTACTATCATTAGTAAAACTCTTTCGCCGACCTGTGTAAAATTCGACATTCACGCCTTTACCAAATCCAAATTGATTCATTGATAATTTAATTACCCATATTTCTTTTTCCTAGGTTATTTTACTGTTGAGCTGGATCAACTTCCAGCCCCTTACAATGGGAGATTATGTATTTCCCATGTGGGGCAATGCCATTGGGTGGACAATGGCTCTCGTTCCCATTTCAGCCATTCCAATTGGGGCAATATGGCAGATGTGCACAAAGCATAAGCATTTATCAGTCATACAGGTAATATTTTTTTATTTTTTCCCAGTTTTAAATTAGCAATTTCTTTTTTATTTATAACATAATAAAGCTTGTAGTGATTATTATATGAATTTTTACGTTAAGATGGAGTTATAGAATGACGCTTATTTTTTCAGCGTTCTCCATAAATATCTTTTCAATAACTTTGTGTTTTCATAATATATGCATGATTGCAACTTATCTGCTTAAATAAGATGGAAATAAGTAACTACCGCTTCGAAGCAAAATTTTTCTGAGTGTTTTTCATATTGTTAGGCAATTCTGTAAGATACTAATTTATGTACAATGAGCAAAAAAAAAAAAAAAAATTAAACCGGACCATCCTGAGTAACTTTTGATGTAATGATCGGATCTTCAGGCTCTAGAACTCATTCTTAATGGTTTGAGGGAGTTACTTCAAACATGCTAATTAGCGCACTATAATTTAAGTTACGATTCAAACACAAAAACCTTTTTCTTTTTCCATATGGATTTGGATGTCTGACCCCCTTAGTATAGGGGGCAGCCGCAATCAGGGAAATATGGTCCCTATAGCTTGGCCATAATACTAGTAGTGTCTCTTGCCTATATAGTGTCTATTGCCTCATTGAGGTCAATAATAGTATTTAGGTTTTTTGCTTTTCGCCTAAATGAATTAGTAACATTTCTCCGTACATTTTTCTTTTTAGTACATATTCTTTAAAAACATTCAGAAAATCAGACATGTTATCCCCACACTGTCAAGATATCTTTGCTTAGAGTTCTATCATTCATAAATCCTCTTAAAATTAAATTGACATTAATAGACTTATTCTTTGCAGCGTTTCAAAGTTCTGATAAAACCAACGGATGAATGGAGGGCCAATGCAAAAGCAAACAGTACTTCTCAGATTGGGAATGGTAACTTAACAGGTTATGACAATCCTGCACTGACTGAACCACCGCCAGTCTACTCACTCTCCCATCTGTGATTTCCTTCTCTTCCAAATCATCTACAGTTTGTCTATAGAAAGAATTCCCCTCACCACAAAGTCTAAGGCCGTCTGCTGCTATGGTATAGGGCAATAGGGAAAATTCTTTCTCCCCTGATTCCCTTTCTCTCGTCGACTCAAGCCAAAATGTGCCTTAAATAATGAATGCCTTGAAATAGTGTAACCTCGTAACCATAGTCCCCGCCACTACTCCAGACGAATGGTTAGGGGAGTTCTTCACATAGACAAACAATACTGATTCACTCCTCAACGGATGGTTTTGAGGAAACGCAAGCATAGGAAGTGAAGTTCATCATTATGTATATAAATTATTTTGTATTATAAGAAATCTATTTTTAAGAACACAGATATTTTTGCCATATAGTGAAAAATGAAAGGAAGAACAAAATATGAGTTCATCCCTTAGAACTGTATTTTCAACCATAATATTTATTTTCTTTTTTTAATAAGCAAGCAAGAATGACTTAATTATATAAGTAAATGCATATTCTCATAAAACCAATGTAAGCCTCAAATGTAAAGAAACATTTTCTTCATATGATCAAAATGAAAAGCTAGACTGATTTATTATATACAAGTTGAAATTCCTTGATCATGGAGAAAGAAAAAAATAATCATGAAAAAAAAAGAACCATGTTCAAAAATGAAAACAAAAAATTATTCTTGTAAGAAAGTAGATATTTAATCAAGAAAAAAAACAAAAACACTCTCGAAATCTGACAAATCACAGTACAGGAAGACGGACAACATGTAAGAGATAAAAATTAAATCCACTTTCTTTTGAGCAATATCAGTCTTACATATTGTCTTGATTTTTGACAGTACGATTTTAAATCTCGAAATTCTACCTATTTAAAAAGGCGGGTTAGATGAATGTCGAAGGTGGCTAGTTTTTAATATAATTATTAGTCATTGATAACAAATTAGTATCAATTACTTACTATAAACTGTAAAATAATAGATTTTTTTAATAAAAAAGAATGTAAATTATTACTTTCAATTTGAATGAACAATTAGTTATTTTTCTGTAATTTATTAACAAAATATTTTTTTAAAAATTTCAATTAAAAATCACTAATAGCTTATTTATAAAAAAAAAGATATGTTAATCACTCATGTCTAAAAATTTAAACTGTTTGATGTCTCACATAACACCAATAAGAGTTTCAAAATATATAATAGCTTTTAAAAATATCGTTATTATTGTCAAATTCTGAAAAAATGAAATAAAAAATGAGAAAGTTATTTCTATTATTTAAGATTAATGCCATGCATGCACAAATTACAGATAAAAAATTTAGTGTTAAATTAAGTAAGATAACACTAAAATAAGTGTTAAATTAATAAGTAAGTAAGGTTAAGCAAAGCTTAAATTAGTAATTATATTATTCATCTTTCAGAAGGTTTAAACATACTTCATTTACTGAAATACATCAAAATTTATTTGTTTTACTATGATTTAGTATGCTTTGTATTTTCTATGTACATAATGTGAATCTCGATTAAAATTTCCCATTCTCAGAAAATGCTTTATAAATTTGATGAAATTTGGTAGCTGAAAAACTGAAAGTCAGCCTCTAAAATAAATAAATAAAGCTAAATTTAATTGTATTTTTTTTTCTTTGTACTTATTTAAATTTTTACATTTTGCCCTTTCGTAGTGAATAATGCATAGAGAGACTTTAAAATAATTTAATAATCTATTATCGGCATGAATAAAATTGATACCTTGAAGCAATGTTTTTAAAATATTGCTGAAAGCATTTGTACATATGTAATCATTTTTATTTGTGTTCGTTTTTTTAACTTGGAATAAAATTTATACGTACTTTGACAATTTTGAAGTTTTTTTATTATTTAAGACTTACACCAATTCATCTGTGGTTTAAAAACAAAAAATATAATTGAATAGTGGTGCGGAGAAAGCTCCGGTTTTAATGTTGTTGATTTCGTGTCCATGGATTTTCATATAACATCAAAAGTCTGGACTATTGCGGCTGCCAGCTTCGGCGCCTCTTGACTGTAGAGAACAACTCTTAGATTGTCCTCAATTGGTTCCATTCCCATTTTCAAAATATGTGTAGTAAGTGCAGGGCACTCAAATATCTGTCTTGATGTCAACGCGACATCCGATTTTAATCACAACGAAAAGTACTTGCTGGAAGAAGTGATGAAACAAATTTAAAATGATGCTTAAAAATGGTATTCCGTTCGCAGTCATTAATGGCAACATAAATTTGTTATTAAATTAATTTAAAAGATATTAATAGTAATTGCAATACTCCCACATTGAAAGTTGTACATTTGGAAGAAAAAAAATATTAAAGAGCCCTGGTGGCTCAGGGAATAACGAGCTCGCCTCTCGAAGAGATGACCCGGGTTTGACTCCCAGCTATAACTGGTTGATACGAATTCCACACCCAGCTCACACCAACCACAGTGCTGACGTAAAATATCCTGAGTAGTAGGCGGATGATGAGTTAAAGTGTGCCCTTGCCGTCAAGATAACCGTAGGAGGTTTTCCTCTATGTAACGCAAAAGCGGGTTAGTTCCAGTTAAGTTTGTGATTAACAAATTTGTGTATATGTTACTGTGAATGACCGAAATCATGAGAATGTCGACTTTCACCTTAGAATGTCAACAATCACATAGTCTCTTAGGTGAATGTCCGAAATATTTGTTATATCCGTTTTGATATTAATTTATTCGTTGATATTATATTTACTCGATATTTTAATAACGGCTGAGTTGAATAAAATTAAATTTTTATAAAAATATGAAATGAAAATTATATCGAGAAGAATCCCAAGGTCGGATTGTAATGGGTAAAGCTTCTGGGGCCATTCGCACTGCATGCGATTTACACATCTCCGATTGCCGTCGATGAATTGGTAAAATACATTGTACCAAGAAAAACTCACCAATCAGCATCGCTTGAGAATTTCTTCTTTCAGTCCCTTCCCTCTCTAAGTAATTAATTGTTTCAACTGGTTGTGTTATGTAATAAGCTGACGAGCTCTGCTTGTTTCTTTGTGTGAAAGCAGGAGTAAACGTGACAAGCACACTTCAAAACCAGTATTTGCTTAGAATGGAACAAGGAACATTAAATATTTAAATTTATATAAATATAAAGTTCCTTAAACTAACAGCTAATAGATTTCTTAGATTGACCAAAACATTTTACTCTTAATATATAGGAAAAACTGAAATTTAATCGAAGTTATTAAATTTTTTAAATTAAATTAGTAACTGGCATTGAACAGCTTACCCATTTTCAGGTTTACGACCATCAATGTTCAATTTAGAACGCTGGTAAATTTTTTTATTGAGAAACACTAGCCATTGTGGAGGACGGAGGAATTTTTGAAGGAACTAACCCTCATTTATGATACATAGAGTCCGATGTTAAGGGAATTTCTACCCATGATCAGTATAACCATTGAGAATATTTTATGTCAGCAATGTGATTGGAGCTAGCTTGGAAAAGCATTTACAATGACTAGTCGTTGCCAGGATTCAAATCTGGTTTCCCATTGGAAGGCAAGCGCTCTATCTGAACCACCGTGGCTCTATTATATGAAATTAAAAATATTAGAGGTAACACACAATGAAAACAAAACAAATACAAGTCAATAGCTTTATTGAACCAGATCACCTGATTGTTATACAAGCCCCAATATCATTTGTGCAGACAACAAAGGGCATTGACAGTGTAATTGAATGCATCGAAAAAACATAAAATTCAAAAGCAAATAACAGTTTGTACAATTTTTTTTTCTTTAAACAAATGTTTTGCTTTCGAAAGGAATGTTCAGTAGAAATATAGTTTAAGTACAATTTAAATCACCTTTCAAGATAGAAATATTTCTTTACACACTTTTGATAGAAAGAGATCAAAATATTAAATTTTAGTGCATGCGCGAATTACAAAATTTTCAAATATAGTTATTTTTAGTATCACACATTGTAATAAATGAGCAAAATATCATGTGCAACAGCATTAAAAAAATATTTTAAATGCCTTTTGGCGATTGCTAATTCACCTTTAAAAGAAAGATAACAAAATGAAACATTAAATTGCATTTAAAATTTAATAATTTTTTTTAACACTAATCTCAGGTAAGAATTTCTACTCAAATAAAAAAACATCATTAAAAACAGTAATTTTTAAGTAATTTTGAGCAGATACTTTAAATAAAATAGTTGTCCCAAGAGTAGCTTAAAAACATTCAGTTGAGAGATAAAAACATAATAATTTTGTTCTTTTACATTTTTTCCGACTCAACAATAAAACTTTTAAACTGGGCAAGAATCTTATTTCAATCAATAAATCTAATTGAGTTTAAAATTTTTTTTTTTTACCCTTGAAGACAAATTTATAAATTTAAGGAATAATTATTTTGTTTCACAGAAAAGAAACATTTTTGTATTATATAAAATAATAATAACATTTTCCGCTACTTTAAATGCATAAAACATAATTGATTTTGTTAAAGCAGCAGCAACATATAGTTTTAAACCAAAAATTTAAGATTCACGATTCAATAAAAGCACTATTTAAAATCACAAATAGTGTGTTTATTAAAAACTAGTATATCATAGTATATTTATTATATACTAGGTTATAAAATGTATACTCTCGATAACTCGAAAATCTTGTTACTTTAAAAAATTATTTTTCCCCCTGGCATTATATATCCGACTAATGTTAATTTGAATTCCTATGTCGAAGAGTTTCTTCTCAAAACCTCGTTAGGACTTTTTTTTCGAAATAGAAAATGAATTGTTTTCGGAGAAATCAAATGAAAGTTTATTGTAAGCCAATTCTTTTCTATTCAATGCTTAATTATTTTTGTCTTACTATTAAAAATAAAATTATCATTGTTTTATTTAGACTTATCGTCAAATATCATTATATACATAATTATTGGTAGTCATGTCTCCTGACTCTACTTTTTAGATAGTAATTTTAAAATATATTTTTCTACTTTTTAGAACATATTTATTTCTGAACTTGTCCTTAAAAAAACTTTGCTATCTCTAAATTTTTTTAGTGTCCCTTCAACTTCGAGACATCAAGAGTATACTGCAATAGGTTCTAATGAAAAAAAAAAAAAAACTATGTAATTTTAAATGATTTTATTTAAACATTGTTTTATTATCAAAGGTTATCCCTGTTATTTCCTTATTAGGGTCCTATTTAACTATTTTGAAGAAGAAATTTTAAGAGCATTAATAAAAAGGAAACTTAATTTACTCAGCTGAAGCAAAATTCTAAGTCAGAAGCACCAAGATTTAAGCCATTTTTTTTAGTACACCAGATAAATAAAATTTATTTTCCTAAAAAATTGTTATGTTTCCTTAACTATATAGCATAATTTATGTAAAATGACACAAAATACAATAACTATTGTAGCACAATCAAACCCGTTTGCATCTTTGAAATAATCACAGATTTATAACAATAACAGAAGAGTACCCTTTTCTTCCCAAAAACATAGAAATAGGAAAATAAAAATAATGTTAACAAAGAATTTCAAATTTAAATACTGTACAAAACATACATGAAAATAATACTAAAAAATTAGTTACAATGAAAAAAAAAACAAACACATTTTGATATTTTTTGTTAACATTCACTTTCAGTGTCAGTCTAGGTAAAAGCTTATAAATAATTTTTCTAAGAGCTCCAATAATTTGAACAGATAAAATATTTCAATGCCAGTTGATCACTGCACGATACCCTAGGCATTTGACTAGAAATAATTCACTAAGAGTTGCTAGAGGGCAAAGAGATAATAGACTTTGCTAAAGATAATTAATAGTTTTTTTTTGAGCCAAATTTATTTTGTTCTTAGAACTATCTCAGGCTAGACGGAAAAAAGGTTGGGTAAGGAGAAGTGTTAACTAATACATCGTATTGAGCAAGGCAATTTTTTTCAGCTAGGGGTGTTCTATAACCATTCAAAGAAATTTTATTCTAAAAATTTTTCCTTAGATATTTTTAAGATTTTTTTTTTTTTTTTTAAATTTAGTGGATATACACATAAAAGAATGCATGCAAACTGCGTATAGCACAACTGAAATAAATATCAAGATTGTATTCCAACTTTAAAAATTATTAAAAAAATTTCATTATTGAATAAGTAAGAAAAAAAATCTCAGCAGTAATTGAGAATATTTATATCACAAATGCACAACAGCATATACTAGTTTCTATAGAATTTTCTATACTTTCATAAGCATTTTTGATAAACATATACCTATATATTTTGATGACATATACTTTGCAAAATTAAACCAATTAAGATAATTTTATTTTTTCTTAAGTTATTATAGAAATGCCGAACTCAAAATATGCTTAAATTTATTATGACATTCTAAACCAAAACCTTTCCTAACAAAATAACCATTAAATATTCTTTACTAACATTAATAATTTTAAACTATATTCAAAGAGCTAAACTTTTAAATAAATACTTAAAATCAAAAGTAAATCTTTTAAGTATGAATAAATATCTCTAATTTTTCGAAACAATAACAATTACAACTTAAAGAAAAACCATAAATACTTTTTTAAATTCTTAAATATTTTATGCACCATAAAATGTAAAGTAAAAACAAAAATACGACAATAAATAAAATACATAATAAATATAGCATTTATATGATAATATTAAAATAAAATAAAATACTCAAATAAAGGACAATTTTGCCAAAAAAAAAAATTTAAATTTGTAATCCAAAAGCAAGTTTCTGAATTCTCTAGGCAAAGCAAATCTTTGTCAGCGTATAAGAACACCCCTGAAGTCAAAATTTAGTGAAAGGGATAAAAGACTATCAAGAAAATTGCAACACCTTGTAATTGGCAGAAAGTGTCAAAAAACATTGACAACTCTATGTACTTTTTTTTAAATATATTTATATGTACAACTGGAGGGCCTCGCGCTGTGGACGTTCAGAGTTCTATCTGTACAACAACTTTTAAGTACAACACTACAAATGCACCTAGGGACTGTGCTGGAGCTCATTTTTTTTTATGCGCCAGCTCACTTCAATAAAATAAGTGCAAACAAACATAAAAACATATCTAAAGCAGAAAAAAAAACAATACTTCCTTTGGAATGATTCAGAGTCAATGATTTACATTTAACATTTTTTTTAATAATAGGTCGTTCCGATTATCTGTAAAATGAGTGCATAACAGCATCGTGTTCTTGCATGGCCGGTTTCTAGATGAAAATAATGAGCCGCACTTAGCCGTTTTTGTGGTTGCTACCCACATGGACTGTTAAGAGCGACGATATTAACAACAGTTTATGTTTACAATATTTTGAAGGGCAAACCAAGGTCGCAGCCCTTTCAAATTTAGTACCGCTGCTGGAACTCGTGGTGCCAGCGATTGAAGTCAATATAGAATACAGTCACTGAGCCATTAGATAAACCGGCTAGGAGGAATCTAAAAAAATAAAAGTCCATTAATTTTGTTTACTTTTTAAGTTCTATAAAGAATAATATAAAAAAGAGCAACAACATAGTTTATACTAAAATTTGAGTACATGATGGATATATTCATTCAATATTTTAACTGGTGATGGCAATTGAGTGTTAAAAGCAGTAGTTTTCATTAACACTGAAACATCAATTATCAGCACTTTATAAACTGATTGGGGCAGTCATTTAAAAATTTTGGCAGATTTCAAAACAATAATTTAAAATTCAATTTAAAATGATAGACATGAATAATTTGATAATAATATCAACAAAAATAAAATTTTCACTGTGTTTGTAATGTGCCTAATATAAATTTTTGAATAGGCTTGCCACACGCTTTTTTCCAAAAGGTGAAAATAACGACGCTTCATGGTGATCACACACTATGATTACAAAGATTGATATGCTGGTGACAACTAGATACAAATTAGAACTTAAAAGGTCATAGACACGAAAGATGTCTTAAACTCATTTTAATGAGAAATAAGAAACAACCTAAAATGCATGACAAACATCAAAAAATTATAGCAATCAGCATAGAAGTACAAGTGACAGTTCTACTTAAACCCACATTCAATTTATCAAAGGTGAATTCCAACAGTGTAAAATAGATTATTATAATTGTCTCTAATTTAAAAATAAATGAAATTTTAAGAAAATATGACGTTAATTGAAGACGTATGATGTTGCATTTGATAATTCTGTTCCCTGCTGACAGAAATCATCCTTATAGGTGCAAACAAAGAGACCAAATTTATTTTGTATATAAAATAAATTATGTCGTAATAATTAAGTCGTTAGTAACATCCGTAGATCAGAGCATTTGATATTCTTAATTTAATTGATAAAATGTAGCAAATTGGGAGTAATTTTAAAAAAAAATCATTAAATTGTAGGTTAGGGCAAATTTGTAAATACAAAATAAATTTGATCATTTAAAAAAAAAAGCGAGACATTATTATAAAAGGCAGAAGCTGCCTGCATGTAGGAGAATCAACAATGCCAAGTTTATAATAACAGACACAACATAAAGTAATGCTGAATTGATGTAAAATTTTCATTTTCTATATTGTGGTGGATTTTTAACGTAGTAAAGAATCTGGGTCTGTAGTTTTCAAAATATGTCTAAATTAAATTGGTATTCAGGAAATAGATATTGATGTTTAGATAGAAATTCTCTGTGTCTGATAAATTTCTTGTACCTGCATGACTTAAATAAATGCTTAAGATACTCACTTCTGATCATGGGAGAGTGCCAAGGACCTCACACCACTATCACATGTCGAGAAAGCATACAGCAACGCAAGATTGAAAGTTCGCCAGACTTCAACAACACCTTTGTCACTGCCTGTCATCATGTACTCTCCGTCTCTGCTCATTGCTAAGCACTTTAAAAAAAAGAAATATATTATAAATATGAAAATATGCTCATGCCTGCATATTTTTGGCCGTTAAGCTCATCACTACTTTTCTATAACGCATTTATAATGAAAGGATGAATAAAAAAGAAAATATACAAATTTCACAACTTTTTCCGCTTTGAATACAAAAAAAAAAATTTGAGGAGCAATATATATTATGTACATATTTTGTTAATAATTCAGAAAGTTAGAAACACAAATCAAGCAGAAAACAAAGAATATGAAGAATTCATTTTCTGCTTGATTTGTGTTTCTAACTTTCTAAATTATTAAAATAAGGCGAAATTTGGTTTTAGCTGCTTTTAGCCCTTTTCCATTTTGACTTCTTATTTCGTCTTTTTCTGAATTTGTGTAAATCAGTTTCATTCATTGATTAGTACATATTTTGTGTAATACCTGTATAGAATGATGGTGGGTGTCACTTCGAAGTCTGCGACCATTAATTGTAAAACAACAAACATTGCACTGGTCATAACAAACAACAACCAAGCCTTCTCTACAAAGTGCACACAGTTCAGGAGAACGGAAATTTTCAGGAGCTTCAAGTGACCTCAACAAATCCCCATTTGTAGTATGGACCAAAACAGGTCCATCTAGAAGAAAGAAAGAGGGGAAATAAGATATTTATGAAAATTATTATTATATCAATCATTAAATTAAACACAGACAATCAGAAAAGATATGAAAATAAATTTGAGCAAAAGTTTGTAACTATAAGCTGGCAGTTTTACAGTTACAACAAACATGTTTACCTTTAGAGCCACTCACAACTAGACCAAGTTCTGCAGATACAACTATACAGGTAACTTCACTTTCATGCCCAGTAAGCGTTGCTCTAGGTGTTGGAATATCTAAAAGTACAACAATATAACATCAATGAGTATAAAATAGTTATAAAAAATTATATATATGATTAAGTTCGATAAATAATAAAAATTTATCGATATAGCCAGTCACCATCTCTCCAACTTCATTCTCAAATTTAATTTGTTATTTGGATTTTTTTTTTTTGTTGATATTTAATAAAACATTTGATCATTTTATTACTTTAACTATTTCAGTTTACAATTGCTAATTTTATTCTTAATTTACTATTTACTTAAATTACTATTCCAAATTCTAATTATTTAATTATTATTATTATTCCAATTATAATAGTAATTATTCCAAAACCAAAAACCAGACCAGAAGTTAAAAACTTGCATTTAAACACACCTTACATTCATGACGAAGTTAATTCTAAAATCATCACGCTATAATAATTTCATAGATTGTATATTTCGCATTTTGTAACAATGTTTCAAATTTAAAAAGAGGTAATTTGTTAGAATTTTTGAAGCAAAAGAATTAACCCAAAATATTGCTCTCTAAATGTCTTTTTATAACGTAAAAATAAATCTTGACTTAAAGGGTGTGGTAATTTGGTGATAAAAGTAAACTGTTTAACATTTTTCTTCAGAAATAGTGCTTCAATTTAACTCAAATGATGAATAGCTACAAAATACTTTACAAACAAAATACATATTTTGACATACCTTATTTTGTTTCAAAACAGTACTTTCAAGCGAAAACATAAAACAATGTTGTGAGAAAATTTCCTACTTTCATTGTTGAGCAAAGTATGACATATGTTACTGTGAATGACCGAAATTGACTTTCACCTTTGAATGTCAACAATCACATAGTCGCTTTCGTAAATGTCCGAAACATTTGTTTTATCCGATTTGCTACATCTGATATATTCGGAGTAGAGGTTAAATGTATACTGGGTGCTTCGAAAACATAAAACAATGTTGTGAGAAAATTTCCTACCTTTATTGTTGAGCAAAGTATGACATATGTTACTGTGAATGACCGAAATTGACTTTCACCTTTGAATGTCAACAATCACATAGTCGCTTTCGTAAATGTCCGAAACATTTGTTTTATCCGATTTGCTACATCTGATATGTTCGGAGTAGAGGTTAAATGCATACTGGGTGTTTTACCTTAAAAAATATTGATGAAGGGCATACCTGGCAAATGTATACCGGGCAGTGGCACTTAACTAGACCTAGTATATATTTTGGACATTTACCAAAGCGACTATGTGATTGTCAACATTCAACGGTGGAAGTCAACAACCACCAATTTCACTCATTTACGGTTACATATACATACAATTAGTGGATATATAATTTGATTGTATAACATATATACAATAAAGGTACTCAATAGAAAAAAAAGATAATAAGCTATTCAAAATGCGAATTTTATCTCATTATTGACATGCTTCTAAAAGAAAATATTTAAAAATTATTTGTACAAAAAATTTAAATTTTACCCCACATTATTTGGAAAAATTCTTTAAGTATATAATCAATGTACCTGGACAGTTCAAAAGATCTCCTGCAATACACTGTGTTCGAGCATTCCAATGCCACAACAGAATAGTGCAGTCTTCAGAACCAGATGCAATGTAACAGTCAGAAGTGATGTTGCATTCAGATCGAGCTAAGCAGGTCACAACCCCAAAGTGACCATACACAATTTGGACAATTTTTGCTGCAAAAGAAAAAGTCACTAAATTACAGTTGATTGGAGGAGCCAGCAATGTTGGCCCCGTAGCACTTAAAAAACTTAATCCAACCAGCTGGTTAGGGTCTCTATATCTAACATAGTTAGAGAATTATGACAAGCAGTTACAAATATGCGTGAAAGAGAAAGCCTACAAAGTTCATTATTAAACTTTACAGAAATTTCATTCCATCTTGCTTTGACAATCTGTGCCAAAACCATATTAACTATATTGAGCTACTTTTTTTAAAATCAGTTGAAGAAAATCCCAACTACACTAAAATTGTATAAGTTATTGATTAAACGATTCAGCTCTTTATGTATTGTTTTTGTTTTGTTAGCGAAATTTTCAAAACTAATGCTTCATTACAACATTAACTGTTTATTTCGCATAACAGCATTACAGTGGAAAGAATAGGTATCGTAGTTTTTATAAGCATATAATTTCACAAAATACATAGTTATTTAACAATATTTTTATGTGTAACATATACTTTGATGTGTAAAATTTAATTTCAAAAGCAAGAAAAAAAAATCAACAGTTTTGAGATTTTGTCCATTGCTGAATGTCAAGTTTATGAGGAAATTTTTGTTTCGCTCCTTTTCGATAGATACATTTTGGCTTTTAACCAATTAGTGTTACCTGTATACATTAATAGTCTAACTATGTTAGATAAAGGACTTCATTCCTTGTGAACAAAAATATTTAATAATTTAGAATGGAACATTTGGTCTTGTTTTTCAAACAATACACAGAATAAGAATTTCTGAAACATATCACAATTTCAATGTTAATACATACCAGATTCTGTCGAGAATACTCTGAAGCTATTATCCCAAAATCCACATGCTATGAGAAACCTGCTATCTACAGTTGTAACGAAACAGCACGATCGCATTTTGACTCTCTGACTAAAGTTATCACCCAAGTGTCTCTTGTATGGGGCAACATTCATAACTAAAACAAGGAAACAACTCATTATGATAATTTGCATTAAGTAACACACACGGCCTACACTAGTCATTCGCCACCTCGCCAAATACCATAATATCGCAAATATGACAAATAAAATTGCGCTTTGGCAAATGATTTTTTACTTTAGAAAGAAAAAATATATTTAACTCACTCCTCAAAATTACATTAAAAAAAATTTCTAAACAAATCAGTATTTGTTATTTATTTGATTACAATAATTTTCGGTTAATGTGCCACATAACAGATTAGAATTGGGTCCAAATAATATAAGCTTGAAACAAATTACCATAAAATAGTTTTTGATGGGAAAAAATAATCATAAAAAATCAGGGTGCGTAGTCAAATCTTTTAACAAAAAATAAACACCTTTAAAGTACTTTTTAAGCACTCAAAAAATATATTAAGCATCATATACTAATGATCATAATAAAACAATGATCATGATAAAATAACCACATCCTGAGAAAGAACTCTTTTCTTGATTATATTAGCCATTATAAAAAGATCAAGAGGTTTTTCAGTTCAATATCAGAGGGTGGGAAATGAAGCCTGAAATTGAGAATATCTTGCAAAATGCAACAGAGTTGCACATGAGAATGCAAGAATTTCACCCAACTCAGCTCAATAGACGCATATGTCGGCTCGTAATTATTTCGTGAAACATGTAAAATGGTTGGCTCTTTCATACACTATGTACCGCTGGGATGCCAAAATAGATTGTGGGTCAAAAAATTGTGAAAACCTTGAATAGAAAAATGCGAAAAGCTCGCTTTTATATAACACATGGCGAAAATTGACACAGTAAAGAAAGAAAAATCATGTTTTCGAAAAGGGAAAATTAAGCACTTCTCAAAAACGCCCAATGAAAAGAAGCACCTTTAAGGGCTTTTAAAAAACAAATATCGAAAATAAGCACTTTTTAAAAACGCTATGCACCATGAAAATTGTTATGTTTTGCATTGGGCGAAGACTTTTGAAAATTGGCAAATACTTCGGATGTTTGGCTAATTTATTGGCTGATAAATCGAAATCCTTAGCGCCGGCCCTGAACATTCAATACATAATATTAACTATAACAGCAAAACTAGATTATACAAGGTTTTTTTTACAAAAAGTTTTACAAAATGCATAAAAGAACTTTAGACAACTCACTGAGAAGAGGATCCATGGCAAGTGGTAATTGAGAAGGAGAAGTTTGAGAATTGTCAGAATATGGAGGTTGATGCAGGGGACCTACAGCAACAAATTAAAATAATTATAAAAATAAAAACTTTTTATTACAACACAATCGACTACATGGAAGTTTAATTTACCCTTATAATGTGCAATCAAAGTTATAAATGAATAATAATTTCAAGCTGACATTTTAACTCAAGTTCTGTAATTGATTAATAATAGACACATCAGATCATATTTAAAAGAAATTATTAGAATCTATAGGAGGAAAACTTCGATCATTAAGTTTTGGAGTTAAGTCTTCTAAAAGAAATTCATAAGAAAACTACAGATAAAAGACTTCACAGATTCATCACTAATTCTCCAACTTATAATGAAGTTGGAGAACTAAAATTTGAATCATATGTTCTTTATGAGATTAAAAGAAAAACTAAAAAAGTTTCATTTTGTTGTTTTGTAGTTATCTGGGCAGTCAGGCTAATGGCTAACAATTAGCCTAATGGACAGAACATTAGATAACACTTTTTCAACAAAACAGAAGTCTCAAGTTTAAACAGTGTTTTTTTTTAGATAAATAAAAAAATTCTATAAAAATTTTATTTCAATATTCTAACAACCAAAATAGTTAATAAAATTATTTTCATCTTAAACAACAATCAAACATATGAAATGTCTCTATAGGAATAATAATTATTTTTAAATATTCTGTCAATTTAAATTTTTCATTAATACAATTAGTTAACACATAGCACAAGACAATAGTATGGTTAGCAGCATTTTTGAAAAAATTGAATTGATAGAATCATCTGCTAAATTTTACAAAATTTCATTTTGTTACTGTTAAAGACAATTCCTTAATTAAAATTAAAGAAACCCTGATTGTTATAATAAATATATATATTATATATATATATTATATATATATTTATATAAACCAAGAAAGTTTTTTTTGAACTATGTTTATGAACGGAAATAATGTGTTAATTACGTAAAGTTTGAAGGCTAATAACCAGAAAAAGTCTAACTTATTTTTACAA